TGACTCAGCTGTTAATAGGCCGATTAACTCAATAACACCGAACGAATCCATACTGTGTATGAACACCTGCTATAGAAATCAATATAATCTAGTCCACCTGCTGGTAACCTCAATAACGGTCTTTGACCGTATTCACGTATGAGAAAACTGTTAATTAGAGACATCTGTGCTGTGAAGACAATTATTAGCTTTGAAGAAAAAAGTTCAAGTACCACTGCAAAAATCTATAACTACGCATCGGAAACTGATTTTCCGAAATGAATCAACATCAATAAATCCTTTCTGAAACGAAAACCATACCTTACCCAACTTTATTGAAATAATACTTAAATGGACGGATAGAAAATATAATCATTAACACCTAGTGTTCTGAATTAAAACCGTCAGCAGGACTAGACCGGGTTTCGAACCATGGATCTGAAAGTGTAATACCTTTCGCCCTTACCAAATGAGTTACATGTTCATGGCGGTTCCCAGGCTGAGTTGCGCTACAGTTAAATCCAACTTGGACGATCAAACAAATCGTAGACCACGACATATCACGAGGCGTAAGATCAATGGAAAAAAATAAGAACAAACATGTATAAATTGATAAACTGAAAAATATTATTAACAGGAAAGGTCATTTCAGGACGTGCCTCCGTGTATGTGTAAGTGTGTGTGCGTACATGTGTGTATGTGTGCAGGAGACGGGGCATGTTGGTGAACTTGCCTCTTTGTGATAGCGCGGACCTGATGCCGACTTTATAGTGCCATCTCACTGATATACCATGCCGAATGCACCCAGCACAGTATGTTGGTGTTTATTTAAAGTTGCCGTCCTTAAATGACCTTAGCTGTTAATAGGACGTTAAACAAAATCAAACAAACAAACAAAAATTTAAAGTTGTTGTGTTGTTTTAGGGTTTTTATAACCACAGAATCGATGGTGAACCGAGTGCAGAGTTGTCAGTCATCTTTAGTACAAACTAACCCTAGAGAGTAGCAGCCAGCTACTACACTTGCGGGACTTATGAGAAACAATCAAGATGAAATCAACAACAGTGTTCAGAGAGTAAAACATCAGTCCTGGTGGTGATCCATCTAAAGTTCCTTTAAAGAATACCACATCCTTCCATCCTTGAGTATTTATAACAAGGTGTTATATTCGTATCCGAATGCCGCGGTTTGTACCTGTATATCTCCTGAATTGATTTAAGAATAACGCTGTAAGTACTATAATGGCTGGATTGTTTCTTTTTCTTGCACATTCCTTTTTCTTTGAAAGAATAGACGGGCTGTTTCGCTCTGAAAGTTTGAAGGGGCGACTAATACGGCACCATGCAGAATCGATGGTCACCTTATTTTCTTTTTCTAAAGGGGAATATCGGGAAAAAACCACTAACGTGCATTCCGCCCCTCTGTATTCATCAAGGCAATATGGTAGAGTAATCTCCCCTTATCATCGATTCTACGTCGTCAAAATAGATAGACATCAGCTGTGATGTGCAATTACCTAAATCTAACAATATCTTTTGTTTTATTGAATATTCTAAATACTAAGTTCTTAAGTTGAAATCAGTGGAAACTATATACAAATACCTTGCGTCGTGTTCAACGGACAAAGACATTTGATCAGAACAGTCAATTTTATAATGGCGATTTAAATACAACGTCATCTCGCTTCAGTGTACTTAAGGCGTATGGCCTGGGATAGGTTTATTTGAAGAGGACTCAATATACAAGTGCCCTTCGAGTGTAGTTATTTGTTTTGAGCGAGAGGGGAATTGCAGTGGCATAGAATATAAGAGAATGTCGACGTGAGTCCTGAAGGGTTTATCTTACTCTAGTTTCTGAATTTTCAAATTGTATAAAGACGCCATGTTTACTAAGTGTCTTTTACAATTTGAAAATTAAATGAAAAGAGTGAAATAAACATGATAATAAATCCTCAAGCGCATTTGTACCTGTTTCTCCCACAACATTCAGATTAAATCTAGAAAACCATATGTTTGTCTTGTTAATACATTAGTTCTGTTTCCGATCGGGGAAAACTTTTGTCATGAACTATGACGTCAAAATGGAAAATGACGTCGCGAAGCATTGTTACTTGACGTCATATTTAGAAGATTGACCATTGAAATAACGTCCAGGTTGTTACCCACAAGTGGTTAACCAACAATGTTAACCAAATCTCAGCAGGTTAATCCAATAAGTCGGGAGTGAGGAAACCTATAGTGGTTATGGGAGAAAATATTTTCCCCTCTGTGCTTAAGCTCAATCGCTAACCAAGTGAAGAAACTAATTAACCAAGATGTAGCTGTCGCAATGTAACTGTACATGATAAAGGATGGCCTATTCCGTCTTTGCGTATTGCAGAGTTATCTTCTCTTGTGAGCAGGTATTGATTGTTACGTCATTGGTTTGTGTGACAAAATTACGTCGTTTCCTCAAAAATTGATGACGTCACTCTCACAAACCAATGACTTAACAATCAATATCTGCTCACAAGAGCAGATAACTCTGCAATACGCAAAGACGGAATCACATAGATAACATCTGGGGAAATGGCGGCGATATCAACAAAAACTGCAACGGAAAACGATATGTAATACAGGTCGGATCCATTATGAATTTTCACCATGATTTTTCTACGACAGGAAAGGTCAGTAGGGTGTAAGCCCAATAAGGATGAATTAATACGGTTACTAGTGCAAATTAATTAACTTTACCATTAAATACCGCCAACGGGAATATAATTGATGAATTTAGTGGAAGAAAGTATGGAAGCCCGTACGTATCAAAATAGAGCATATTTTGTAATTTTCGTACACAATTTGCAATTTTTCCGTTTCGTTAATTACATATTTTCAAGCAATTTAGTCGTTAAACTGTTTAAGCTTACTGGTCTCTTACTGATATTTTATTGATATTTCTCGTAATTTCTTACTTTATTTCTATGTTTTGTGAAGTTGCCCTCTTTCTCCCTGACGAAACTGCTTTTATGGCGTTTCTCGCAAATACTAAACAATACAAATCTTATTCGATAATTAACACCGTAAATACGCCATGAATGCTGTAAATGGATTCCTATTATTTGCTAGCTGTTCAATTTCTATTCATAGACGGATAGCTTAAAAGTACCGAGAATGCGATCAAATGTCAGAGGTCAATTAAAGTACGCAAAAGTGCGTCATGACTTCATAGCGTTGATTTGGGGGATATTTATCAAAATGTATGTGAATCTTTAATATATTGCCGAGTATGTTGAAATATTATTTCATGTTGGCTTAATTCCAAACTACCAAAACGTATCATAGCGTTAACGGTCTTTCCGGAGGGAGAATTCCTGTTGTTAACTTGCAAGTAGGGAAAATAAATGATCAATTACTCCTGTGTGACGCAGACAAAGAATTGTTTTTTAAACTCCAGTGAAATATTTCTGAAATAGTTCTCGGAAAAGCTTCGTGCTTAACTTCAAAAATCTTACCAACGGATTTCTCTTTACCACAGAGAAAGTAAAACATGAAAACATACTCTGAACACCTTAGTTTAGGTCCAAATATAGCTATAATAAATGTTCTGATCCCTCTGGTCTTTACATTACACAAGAGTGATAGATTCTATTATTCCTATTAAATTACATTGTACTCGTCCCAAGTTCGAACAGAGAGCAAATCACACTTTAATGAGCGGACACGGATCAAGTGCACCAGGAAATCTGTTTGTTTACTACAGGCTGTAAAAATCCTTCATTGTACATTTTACAGATCCGCGTGCCACTTCCAGAAACTGAAGCTATGCATTGGATTTTTTGCTGGTATGACTTTACATTCGAACCCGTGCAAGTTCGGGGAAATGATAGGCCTGTTTTGTTCCACTGCATGGTCGTAAGAGGCGACTAATGTAGGGGGCCTGCAGAATTGGGGTGGTTTCTTCCTTTTCTTCTATTTAGGGGACATTGAATAAATCAAGAATAGACCTACTGTTTCCCACAGCATGTGTATCATAAAAGGCGACTAATGTGGGCCTTTCTGCAGAATCAGTTGTTGTTTTTATTTGCTGCCCCCCATTTCAACACTTGGGATCTTTTTCATTTTTTATCTTTCCTGTCTTCTTTCTTTACTATCTGCTTTCTGTTTCCTAGGTACCCGTCCTCATATGACCCTGGCTGTTGCGAGGACGCTAATCCCTAAACAAACTATACAATGTAGATCTGATAAATTGCTTCTACAGGTACGGAAAACCATACCTTCTCGATTGTTATCATAAGAATAATAAGGATAATATACAAATAATAATACTGCAACGGGGCCAGGCTAACCAGCTAGATTCGAACCCCAGACAACCCTATCGTTATTCTGTCTGCCATACACGCCTACGCTGCAGTCGGTATATCCAAAGTGAGATTAATGGGAGACAACTGTATGTACGAAATACTACAGTGGAATTCTCTAGTGTTTTGTCTACAGCGGGACATGTATCCTTAACTACGTTAGGAGACATTACCTACGTTCACTTTAATAAGACATTTTTAAAAGTGCAAAGAGGTCCCTTCACCACTTACAGTTGCATCACTTCTCAACGTTAAAACTAACCGTCCGGTATCGGGTCGATAGGCTTATCGATCTAAATGAACAGTCGTCTGACATTTGTAGACAGCTTATACGGTAGTATTATAGAAACTGAGCAAAACCATTCAGGTAAGTCAATATTTCATAATCGAACCTTCACAGCTTTTCACTTATACCCTAGCTATATATAGACTCGCTGACTAATAAAGAGTGTTGAAATCAATATGTTATGCTTTGTAGTGTTGTACGATTTCATGCAATACATTTAGATCGCTATACGGTTATATAAATTTTAAATGAACTAAAGGTACTTTCAGCTAAGATATATTTTATCCAAAGAATCACTCGTGCATGTCCGTTTTACAATTCATGTGAAAAGCTGAGCATTATCTATTTAAAAAACAGGCTTCTATATAAGTATAACGACACATGGCTTTCAGTGTCACGTGGCGCTGAGCATGGCGGAGTATACGGCGGAGCATACGTGATTCAGCGATGTGTTATCGAAATGAGTGTGGCGCCCGGAGTAGGCCTAGTTAATCACAGAACAGAAAATGTCTTCATCGTACTAACACAGCGAAACCAGGTGTAGTATATGACAACTTTCCTATGTTCCGTCACGTGTGTATATCCTATATATGTGTTGGGTCATTATATGTAAATTTCATGATGAGGTGATTCAAGGTACTTTTATATTATATTATGGTAGATCGTTGTTGAAATCATATTTACACAATGCATGTACACGTGTTAAAAATACTCATACAGAACATGTAGCACGTGTACATGTGTACGTCATATGTGTAGTGTTCAGCCAGTGACAGTGGTGGGGTCGAGACCCGATCACTGTTGAAATCACATCTAGGCAAAATATGTACATGTACATATGTTTGAAATGTATTCTGAATGTGTTTGGAGGATATTCACAAGCATGTGTGTGCATAGTACACAAATATACAAAGCTGTATACAGTGTATGTGTAGCATACAGGTAAACGAGAGACAGTAGTCGGGTCGTGACCCCGAGGTATACGGTCGGGGTGGAAGTCGTATTTACCTATTTGAAAATCTACATGTTGTAGTCGAACTGCCAGTGACAGTAGCATGGTCTGCCGGTGACCAGTGGGTATGGCCGATCAGGTACAGGTAATACAGCTATATTTAGACACGAATTAGGTATGTGTATATGTTCTTGAGTATTATACGTTCCAATAGATGATATACATGCGTAATAAAAAAAAAATACAGTATAAATTTACACTCTAGATACATGTAGTCCTACCTACAAATGTAACACGTGTTGTCAGCGGTTCAGTATAGATATGTCCGTTTCTCATTGCACACGTACAATATTTGAAAAACAGCGATGACAGAAATGAAAACAAAATCTTGATTGGTTCACCAATAGTACAGCAGATGAGTCAAAATAAGTACAATATTGTTGACTGGCATAAAACAGAAAACATAAGAAAATGTTCCTTACGAAAAGAACACTTTGATTAATCTATGTACTGTAAAGCGCTTTAGAGTGGCTTATGTTGGCTAGATAGGGCGCTATATCAAATGTTGTATATTTTATTTATTATTTATTAGAATACCAACCCATAATATGACTACTGTTTAGTGAAAGGTAATTTTGCGTGTGTTGACTCAAGAGACTTCAAATTTGCATACACGAGTACAGTATTGATTGTTTAAAGTGCCCTTAGTCGTCATTGTTTTATTACTCAATTTGGCAAGAAAATGCACAATAGGTAACATATCGTGACAAATAAAATCGATATCACAGTACTTGTGCGATTGAATTCTGTATATGACGCTCGACAGGAAGCGTAACCATGGTAATATCGATGGGTACCTGATGCTATTGTTCTGAGTAAACATTGTACCAGTCGGAATACCTCGAGCCGATTCATACACCCGGGACACCTCGGCCAATGTTCCAAGGAATGGTCTATAACCACGAACTTAGATAATCTAATTCCGTCCTGTAACTGACTTAGCTCATCTATAGATTCGGCACTGCATTATATACAGTTCCAGACACCGATCGAGATAATATGTTATGTGCTTAGTTTTCGAGCAAGTCAGAAATTGTTTTTGCATACACTCTCGCTCGATCTATTAACATGATACAACTGATCATGACTTTGCAGATATTGTCTGAATTTCATACTTTCAACATATATAATAGTTCACTCATCTAGAGCCTCACATTTCTAGTGCAAAAGGATGGCGTTAGTTTATAATAGTTTTACCACTAATGCAAAAAATAAACATGTATCTTAGAATAATATTTCTTAATCTTATCTCGTCGGTAGACTTTCAAGCAGTTTTTGACGTCCTGGTTTAATATAAAAACTAGCAAAAGCTATACGTATACATTTTCACGTTTTCCCAAGCATCAGATATCGATATATCTTTACTGAATGATTTATTTTGTAGTGGGAAAGGTCAGAATATGTATGTTTATATTCTAACATCCAGTGAAACAGCTGTGGTAGTGGTTAAGTTCAAAAAAGCTGCTGTTGCTGTTAGCATTTTTTTCTGGATTTGTGTAGTTAAAATATCTCAAACTCCTGCATAAATTGTGCCCTTGTGACTACAGACTCAATATCCTAAGAGTAAATAAGTTCATTTCACCTGACATTTAATGTAATAATTATAATAATATACAGCATTTGACATAGCGCCCTATCTAGGTAACATAAGCCACTGTAAAGCGCTTTACAGTACACATATACATAATTAATACAATTAGCATATACATTAATCAATACAATTTTTGAGGAATTCGCAGGAGCTACCTTATCAGGCGCTTATAACTACTAGTCCTATGCCACCTGGCTAATATCTCTCTATGTGTGTATGCCTGCGTGTATGCTGCAGATGAAGTGCTATTCTCGCGACAAAAATAAGCTGAAAATGTCAAAATTTAGGCACATCAGTTGAAGCAATTAGGGATCCTTGTCCCACAATCGGGAACCGTCGGCACTTTCCGTAAACGAGAAAATATTCTTGTTTACGAAAAGTACCGATGGTTCCCGATTGCCCTGTCCTAATGCACTGGTTTTTTTTATCCATGTACAATGACCTCCCCTTAACTTTTGTTCGATATAACTGTACTACAGGTCAGAACTCTTCCGGTGACCAGGTAGCACAGTCAGTTAGATTGAAAATTTAACAATCTTAAATCCATGATCCGATTACCGGTCAATCCCCGCTGAATTTACTGTTTTTGATTATGTTTTGTTATTTCATCTTTATCATTTCTACATGAATGGTCAGCAAGGTATGTTTTTATTTTCAGAATGATTTATCAATGCTTTAAAAAATAAAAATGAAATTGAGAAAAAAAGGTTCAAATACATGTACGGTCGGCCAGGTGACACTTTCAAGACCATGATAAGGACAATTTATTGTTAAATTCAGGAGTGAATATGTTTAAATATTATACCATATATAGAGGATATTTAATGGTGTCTTCAGTAATACCAAATATATTTCACGAGTGTGGCTAATATTTTAATATTTTTCACGAGTGCCCAGCACTTGAATATTTGGTATTACTGAAGACACCATTTACTTTTCTATTTATTGCATTTTTAAAGCATAAAACATGAAAAATGTAATGCCGTAATAATTAGCGCCATTTCTAATGACGTCACGCTTGACAACAAGGCTGCGCGCCATTTTGAATGTTCTGCTATGTTCAGGCTTCGGTATCACAAACGTACTTAAGCTGAGATTTGAGTCCGAACTCAAGAACTCAAGCTCAGCGTCCGTATTTCGTTATCACAAACTTAAAACTCAGCTCAACGCCTCAAGCTGAGCTCAAAAAGCTGAGACTGCCCAAGAGCAGACTTAAGTTCGAACTCAAGCTCCGGAACGAAACTGTTTGCTATAAAATGGCAGGCTTGTAATGACAAGAAAATGCTTTTACAATATTGATTTGTCACAATCATCCAAAGTGTTGGAGACACACACAATCTTTACTAGACAATTATGCAGGTAAACCATAAATATTGTCAATTTATTTGCCATTTGTTGAAAATACAGTCGTTTTAATAAGCCGTGAAATGAGTCTGAGATGAATGGGGTCCGAATACGATAGCCCTGGGCCCGAGTGCGATTTGAAATATAAATAATCTATGCGTTATAGTTTCCAACCAAAGGACTTTACATGAAAACCGAGCATGTGATATTTTAAATGATGTATTTTCATGTTATTTTACTTTTTGTAAGACGATATATCGTGGCTTGTTTGTGTCCAAGTCGGACCGACTTTGGGCAGGTGACAGTACCCAAATCGGATCACCAAACGATCATTTTATTAAATCATTGAAAAATCTGAGGAGGAATTATATTCATTTATGGTTGTATCAAAAAAAGAATATCGATGGGTGTTCTCACAAACGAAATTAGCACCCTGGGCTCACTTGAGATATTTATAGAACGCTCTGAAGTCACCAATCAGCGTCTCCGGTTTTTGAGAATGTCGGGACGCAAATCGGATCACGGCTTGAATTTTGCAGTATCGTACGCTTCAAATGAATATTTTTTTGTCAGCATATTAACATTTTATGATAACCTTTAGAATTTATATGACAAAAAGTATTTCTATAGTGTGAATTGCTAGCTATAGTCCAAAACAGAGTGCATAGTCGTCGCACGCGCCATTTTTTAAAAACGTAATCAAAACATTGACATTTGAGTTTGAATTACGTTTTCTTGCGCTATTTGAACTTAAAAAACTAATTATCTGTAGTCATAAAATGGTGCATGGCTATCTATTCTAAGACTACATCATTGTTATAACTGATTTGTTGACACATTTATTTTTTTATGAGTAGTTTTGCAAAAAGTAATCCGATTTGGGTACCGATCCGATTTGGGTACTGCCACCTTGTGCTCCGAGATGATGTTACAATATAGACAATATTTCGGTAAAATAACAACATTTGAATGTGTTGACATGCAATTCTGGGTACAATCAGTAATTTGTTTCCATAATTTACACATAACAGTATATATTTCATTATGAAAAATAACAAAAACGATGCAAATACCTCGTAATGTAATTTCTCAAGAACGTCGTCTGATCGTTAGAAGCGCCTACTGACCATGATCAGTAATACTAAATACATTGCGGGACTTAATTAAATGCACCAGACAGCGACTTATCATCCATGAACGCATTTAAGGTTTTAAACCAAGTAGTTTAAATATATGCTATTTTATACCAAAGTATATACAGAACCAGTTGAACAAACAAAAATAATTTCCTTGTGAAACATGATTTCAATGATTGATAAAAGTGGGGCAAAGGAATGACTAGATTGGAGTATTATGCCACAGGGACCTTAAAATGTGTTACTGCTATATTTAGACCTAACGTAAGGTGTTCAGAGTAAATAGTTTAGGTCCAAATATAGCGGTTACAAATTATCAGGTCCCTGTGTATCTCACCACATGGTAGTTCTGCGGTGTATTTGCAATCTTTAAATGTGTATGTAGATATATCCAACAGATTTAGATAACAAAATATATACATATGATATAATTCTATGAACGGTCGTTGTTTTACATGTACATACGATTGCATGGCTTTTAAAATCCATTAAATGTCTGGGGTTATTTTTTCTCGTTATATTTTCATAATTTGCAGTTTCGCAGTTTTCAAGATACAACAGCTGTATCTCAGGAATTACATATTTTACCATAAACTTTTAGTAAGATAAAGAACAAAATGACGTTATGCAAAAAGTATAGTTTCCTCTGCATAATAATTAGCACATCTTGAAAATCGCTCAACGAAAAAAATTAACCGCATTGTGAAAGAAATATCCAGATAACTCTTTTTCATGTTTCAAATATTTCTCTCGATAAGTAACATTATAAATGAGATCAGGAAAACTCACTGATATATGAAGAAATGCAGGAAATTAAGAGGGAAAAAGATAACTGTGAACTTTAATTTGGCACGGGACTGTACATATAGGTACATGTAGATAACATGATGTATATAAATAGATCATTTTAACAAAAAAATATTTAGATTTTAAAAAAAAATGTTTGAAAAAAAGATGGAGGTGGATTGTGGAAATTTCCATAATACAAAATTTTCTGCATTTACTACATTTCACATTATAAGGAATCACTTCTCACTACCTATGCCAATTGCAATAATGATTAAATGACGATCAATGACAACGTAAAGTAACCAGAAGAAATGAATATCGTTCATGTGGAATTTTTAAACCCGTATTTAATAAATGTTTGCAACAATGTAAGTCTATTATTTGTAAAATGTGATGGATTAAGGAAATCAAGGACAATATCTATTAGGCTTCACATTAAAAAGTGCGTTTTTAGACATATTATATCGAACACTTTCACCTCAAAATATAACATATATATACATGTGTATTGTATAATCGAAGGAATATATACACGTCTTGATTAGCTACATGTATTAGGCAATGTCACTTAAAAGTACCAACAATAAAGTTAGGTTTTACTATGAATAGTCTTTGAGTCACGACTATGTACAATACATCTCCCAGTCTCGATTGGTAGACCTGTGGTTATTGGGTGTTCAAATTTTACAAAAAAAAATGTCACTTAATTTCTTGTCCTAAGTTTAAAAAAAGAGAATCATAACACTCGCCCGTTTTGTGTCGCACCTGTAGTATATTCTTGATCACGTCGTGGTACCAAGTATTGAGTACAAAGTAAACGCAATGTCCGCGACGTAGCCATTTCCTCTAGATCTTTGTCGTTAACGGAATCTTTTTGACCACACAGGTTACAAATTAATCTTTATTTTCATCATAGGAGCTTTCTAACACCTTTGCCTTTGCTTACCTCGAAAACTGACGGACACGGGAATCGATCGCATGAACACGTTTATAGCATGTTCTGATTTATTTTGAGTGAAGTAAATGCCTGTTGTTAAAAACAGTATTATTGTACTTAAAAACTGTTACGAAGATTATACCTCTTCTTCGTTTAATGATATTAAATTATTTCAAAATTCTTTCATCGTAAACATGTGATTTGACACACAACAAGTGCGACATCGCGCGAAAAACTGCACAGTCTTGATACGAGAAATGTGCTCATTTAGGTGTGAAGAGTTCAGCGAAAGTTTACGTCGGCAAGCTCAGCTGAGCTTGAGTTTAACCAGCCGAGCTTAAGTTTTACCAGCTTTGTGATACCCATTTGGCGGTAAATCTCAGCTGAGTTCAAACTTAAGATTTGAGCTTGAGATTGGAGAAAATGTTTGTGATACCGAAGCCTGGTATGATTGCTTATACAAATGTTATTAATTGTTTATTCATGTAAATACTTCAGTGTGTGTACCAAACATTTACCATAACAACCACTTTTTCTACCGTCGCTTTATTTTAATCTGAACAAAATAATCATTGCCTTTGAATGCAGCGAATAGAAGATATCCGTTATGATTGATAAATACAAAAAAGTGTTATTTTCACACTGAAAATATCACTTTTGATATTTTTGTCACAGTGTGAAAGATATCAGTTTTATCAAGTTGAAGCTATAGTCATTCTGGGAGCAAAAGTCGCATAGTTAGTTTTTTTCAATAGTGGCACAGGGATCCTTAATTTTCTTGAATGACGCTATCAATGTGGATTTTTTTTTCAGGTATTCAAAATTCAGATATGATGACCCGGATGTATTTCCACGTGGTTGTGACGTCTTATCCCCTTCAAGTCATCCAGGATGTTGGGACTTAAAGTGAACAGGATTATTATCGGTTTTTCTTGAGAATATGGAATATTTGTATCCTATTTGAGTGTGAAGCTTACGAAAATCTCACCCACTACAACAACTGAAATGTGACGGTCACATCGTTTAGTCTTAATGGAGAGTTTTTCAATAGCGTACGAAGCATTACGATGAGAATGACGTAACGATGCATGGTAAACTTATCCGGGCGCTATTGAGCGCCATGCTGGTCGGATCATCCGGGTTCCTTATAGGGCTCATGTACACAATGGAACAACAAAGGGCAGTTACTCCAGATCCTTTCAAGATTATGACCACCGCTTCTGTGTCGCGACACATGTCAAATATGACGTCAAATAGCTCGTCATATTCAGAATCATCAGTCAATTCATCGCTGCCTACACCCAATACTACAGTGGAAGCTTATGAGACATTTCTAAAATACGACCCAAAAAACTTTTCTTATCCGGCCGATTTCAATTTGAAACAAGCTGTACATGATCTTATTGATAAGAATAATTCAATTCCGGAAGTACACAAGAGGATTCACTTACATAACTTCGAGTATCTACATTCACCTGAACCATGCACATTTCCCAGGGACGAAAAGAGAAACAGAAATATGTTAATATTGGTAAAATCGTTTGCAGGTAATTTTAATTTACGAAAAACACAAAGAGCATTATTAAAGAAAACTAAATTGCTTGGTCGCACTAAACAAGTTTTTATACTAGGATATAACGCCACCTATCAGGATTTCGTTGACACGGAGAGCCGTAAGTTTAAAGATATCATACAGGAGGACTTCGTTGATACTTACCTCAACAATACCTTAAAAACAGTCATGGCTTACAACTGGGTCGACACTTTCTGCAGGGATGCGTCCATCTTGTTTTTTGTGGATGACGACTACTATGTGCATTACGATAAAATCTTTAAGCATATACGAGCTGTGTTTCAACAAAAAAGTACGGGTATATTCGCAGGAACGTTAGCCAGTAGAGCGGTTCCATACCGCCGTCACGAGACCGTCTGGTCCTTGACGTTTGACCAATACCCGTACGACTATTTCCCGCCCTATATAGGGGGCGGGGCGTACATTGTGTCTCATGACGTTGCACACAAATTTGCTGTTTCCTTCCCATATGTGCAATTTCTTGGAATAGACGACGCTTACCTTGGTATCGTGGCCAAAAAGCTTGACATACCACCATCATACAATCCAAACTTTGACACGGCAAAACGGACAGCTTTAGCGCGGGAATGTTCTCACAGCGCTCAAGAATTGGCCAATCATCAATGTCCTATCGCTAAACGTAAGAGTGAATTTATACATTACAGGCGTCCACGTAAACCCGTTAGTTGGCTTGACATCTTACCTGTGGTTATTTTTCTTAATTTGTTATTTATGATTGGTGTATGGTGTTCAAACTAATCACGTGACTGTGTTCATTTTTTACAATACATAGTTGTAATATTAGTGCATGTTTTATAGAACACTGTTTTTAGTGGATCTGAACAACAGTAATCAGGAAAGTTGCTGTTCCGGAAATTCTCTAGTACGGAAGCTCGCTATCATGGAATCTCGCTATTCCGGATACTAATGTTGAAGAAATGTTGTTTTTCGTCTATCGCGGGAGATTTTATTTTTCACTATTTTTTTCTGATTTTATTTTTTTGATTTTCAGAAATTCGCTTCTTTCAATTATATACGCCCGTCAAATTTGACGGTAGTATTATGGTATGGGGTTGTCCGTCCGTCCGGCGTAAACTTTTGTTTGTCCGGCAATCTCTTCCTACATTTTTCGACCGATCTCTTTGAAACTTTGAAACTTGGTATACATTATAATCATGATATGAAGTTGTGTCTCCCTTAAAAGAATTTTGATTTCATAATTTTTCCAAAAGTTATTGCACTTTGTTCATTTCAGTATTTGATTTTTTGTCCGGAGATCTCCTCTTACATTTTTGTACGGATTTCTTTGAAACTTAGTAGGCTAAATAATCATTATATGTTGGTGTGTTTCCTTGAAAAGAATTTTGATTCAACCATTGTTGCAAAAGTTATTGCCCTTTGTTTATTTCAGTATTTGATTTTTGTTCGGCAATCTCCTCCTACAGTTTTTTAACGGATCTCTTTGAAACTTGGTATACATTATAATCATGATATGAAGTTGTTTCTCCCTTAAACAAATTTTGATTCGACGATTTTTGCAAAAGTTACTGCCCTTTGTTTATTTCAGTAGATGAGTTTTTGTCCAGAGATTTTCTCCTACATTTTGTATAGCCTGTCAGCTAACCACTCTTAGAATGATGCAGATCTTGTTTCAATGAAAGAAAGTATATAACACTATATGGCATTCGACGGGCGTATATTGTTCCGCTCGGCGGTACTCTTGTTGTTTTTGGAAACTCGCTATTACGGAAAGTCGCTACTCAAACACCTCGCTATCACAGACGAAAATGTTCAGAATATCTTGTTCTCAGTTTAATATTGAAAATGTAGTACTTCATTTTTCCGAAAAACAGTTAGATTAATTCATCTGCTACTTGTAGTTAAATGCAAATTAACCTTAAGTCGCATGATGTACTAATTTCAGGCTATCAAATACTTTCATTTATGTGTTTTTTTCTAACGTCAGTTATTTTTTTATTTGGATCATGAAAAAATTAAGATTTCTGTCCATGTTTGAATGTTGTTTGATATAATATTTGCATGGCAAAACATATATACTTGTTCATATTTACAACATATGTAAGTATTGATTACTTCCTAAATCTCAGACTGATATTCAAGAAATATAATTATTAATTTAAATTTGATATTTATACTTTAGTCAAACACTGTTTTTTTTTATCCAAGGTTTTTGATGTCGGCCTTACGAAAGTTTCATAAATCTTTTACATTTCTAAATCTATAAATACGAGGTAAAGCGACAAATTCCAATATTTTAAAGATTTTCGTGTTTAGTTGCTCAGCACTTAATGAAGGTTAAGCTACGTAAGCTTTGAACAGCTGGGTCAAACAACTCCTCTTTTCTGCCATCGAGTTTACGACTTTGGAATTCGTTAGACAATACAATAAGAACATTACCATCTTTAAATACTTTTAAATCTTCTATATTTAGTGGTACAAATTCGTCTCCGCCATCTTATTTTAATTTTGGCGAACGTAAATTAAATATATTACATACGAAACTCAGGAATCAGTGCAGCTCTTTGAAAAATGATTTGTTCCGTGTTAAGATTGTTTATAATCCATCATGCGATTGTCGACATTCTTGTGAGGATATTGTCCATTTCTTCTTAGAATGAAAGCTTTTTAATACAGCACGAATTACGCTATTTCAAAACATAAGCTCGTTGAATATATATCCAGTTAATTTATCTTTATCTTTATTTGGCAATGTAAATCTGTCCGTAGATACCAATACAGAAGTATTCAGACACGTATAATTTTTCATCAAATCCAGCGACAGGTTTTAAGTAAAATATAATAATTGTATGATATAGTATTTAAATGTTATCATGTAAATATCAATATGCAATGTATTAGAGGAAAAGATGTTGATAAGTTAATATAACTTGTGCCTAATCCTTTGCTCAAATTGGGGCAAAAAATATTTATGTTTAAATAAAAATAATCAACATCTGGGTCCAGAATATATAAGTTTCTATACACCACTAATCACCCGGAAAAATAGATTCCGGAATATCTATAATCTGCTCAATCTCTACCTAGAGTGGTCGTTCCTCACACTCATTACAGCAGCTAAAAAGTGGTCTGCATAATAATAAGCCTCTGATCATGTATCATAGTCATGTGTCGTCAAGCCGTACAATATAAGCGGCATACGACAAGGTGGATAGCATCGACCTCGAGCTCATCAGTGTACAGAAAAAGTGAGTGTAAAGAACAACAACTCTTGGTACAGATAAAGAACGACAACTATGGGTACAGATAAAGAACGACAACTCTGGGTACAGATAAAGAACGACAACTCTTGGTACAGATTGTGGTCTGCTGTTACTACCTCCTATAATAATTTATCTTCAACATCTACATTCATTGATCAAAAATGTATTACTGATAACTTACTATTTATAATATTTTCAATCGATACCTTTATGAATTGTTTACAATACTTCTCGTAAAATGTTGGAAATAGCTATTCATTTACATTCTAGTTCATGTGTGATAATTTCGATATATGAGTGTATGTATTTAAACTATTATGTGATTTTTCCTTAACATTTCATTTTACATGAGTAATAATATAAAACCAAGTTCTATCAGTGTTCAATATTTATTGTTTGTCCATCTCCATTTTCACAGATTATTTTTGGTTATTAACTCACAATGGAAAACAATCCACAGACACGCATGTATTAAAGAAAGTTAGGTATCAGTACACTATATTTCAGTTAAACACGTTTTTCAAACCTGGAATGACGTAAGGTTTAATATCAAACTACGAGTCAGCAAAGTTTAGCATGAAACTGTGAGTCAGATGAGGTTTTGAATTGAACTACGGGTAAGCTGAAGTTTGATACGGTAGTACAGTACAGCCACTCACTTACATCTCGGTAGTCTCGTTCAACCAGACGCTTGATCACTTGAAATATGCAAAGATAAAAAGAGTCTGGTTGAACGAGACTAACATCTCGGTCGACGGCTAAAACGTTCTCCGCATTATCATATATTTACATTTGGTGTGGCAAAGCCCTTCTATATTACTACTAAAGTACTGATAATAGCAGCTTCATCTTATGAGACTATAACTGAAGTTGGTCTTTGCACCTCCGAGCGATTAACAGTGTCACTACCGAACTTATCGGTATCTTCTGCTTTGATCCCGAAAACCAGTTGCCTGTCTCATGTGTCTGTGAGATCAACAAACAAATTTACGCCTGGATTTTTCACCAATTCAACCTTTTCCGGTTGCACGATCAACATCAACATGCCGGACTGCAAATATAACTCTGACCTGATTATAGTCTCGTTCAACCAGACTCTTGTTGCCTGCGCAAGCTACGCCGAATAGAGAGTCTCTTGAATTACAGGCGATCAAACGTCTGGTTAAACGAGACTAACCTGATTACTGCGGGCTTCCGTTGAGTGCGTGCGCCGGATATAGGTTTTAAAAAAATCGGAAAATGTTTTACGACACTTGATTAGTTACTTACAAAATGTTATTTGTTACTATTTTATGAATTAAGAATAAGATATGTATATATATTAAAAACAAATGAATTATTAACGAAAGTTGCGGAGCCTTTTCAATTTTGTATGGTAAATAGCGCGTGACGTCAGCTGTTATCTTTGTGCCGTTCTAGATAACGGTAATAAGCGGGAAATTTGAAAGTTGGAAAAAACAAATTATTTTTTTGCGAATTCTCATTACGGAAATATAAATATAAGCAATAAACTGCATAGATGTGGCAGACCAACTGGTATCATTAAATTTAGCGAGCACCATTCAGTTTGTCTGTGACACATGTGGCAGTTATACGAGTTGGTCTGCCACATCTATGCAGTTTATTGCTTAACTAAAGGACGGTCTGACATTCTAGCTTCAAAATAAACCCACGCGTTCATGAATGAGTAATAGATTTGAAGTCTTGTGTATGTTTTAAAATAAGAAATGTTATTCTCTCATGATGAATAAAAAAAAATAGTTAATTATTAGAGATGATTTTTATTTCCGTTGATCTTGAATATATGATTCTATTAGCAGAGTTGAATAAAATAAGAATTCATCAGGTTTCAGGTTCCGTATGCCGAAACAAAAATGTGTATTTTCATGGAAGATAACGTACATTCAGTGAATATCTATGTGTTCGTATTTTTATAACAATCATCTCACAATATTGCAAAATACATGTAAGTTGTGTTCAAAATTATATCGGAAATCAAAAGGATTTTTTTTTTATCCACATATGGAGGCCACATAACAATTTCCTAATCTCTCTCTTTTGGGTAAAGGTCGACAAACACGGCAAAGTGTGAATTTAACGGCGAGAAAGCTATAATTCGAGAATACGACGGAGAGGACGCTACGACATCAGAATACGACGGAGAGGACGCTACGACGTCAGAATACGACGGCGAGGACGCTACGACGTCAGAATATGACGGAGAGGACGCTACGACGGAGAGGACGATACGACGTCAGAATACGACGGAGAGGACGCTACGACGTCAGAAAACGACGGAAAGGACGCTACGACGTCAGAACACGACGGAGATGACGCTACGACGTCAGAGTACGACGGCAAGGACGCTACGACGTCAGAATACGATGGAGAGGACGCTACGACGTCAGAATACGATGGAGAGGACGCTATGATGTCAGAATACGACGGAGAGGACGCTATGACGTCAGAATACGACGGAGAGGACGCTTCGACGTCAGAATACGACGGAGAGGACGGTATGACGTCAGAACACGACGGAGGGGACGCTATGACGTCAGAATACGACGGCAAGGACGCTACGACGCCAGAATACGACGGCGAGGACGCTACGACGTCAGAATACGACGGAGAGGACGCTATGACGTCAGAATAGGACGGCAAGAACGCTACGACGTCAGCATACGACGTCAAGGACGCTACGACGTCAGAATACGACGGATATGACGCTACGACGTCAGAATACGACGGAGAGGACGATACGACGTCAGAACTCGACGGAGAGGACGCTACGACGTCAGAATACGACGACAAGAACCCTACGACGTCAGAATACGACGGAGGGGACGCTATGACGTCAGAATACGACGGCAAGGACGCTACGACGTCAGAATACGACGGAGAGGACGCTACGACGTCAGAATACGACGGAGAGGACGGTATGACGTCAGAACACGACGGAGAGGACGCTATGACGTCAGAATACGACGGAGAGGACGCTACGACGTCAGAATACGACGGCAAGGACGCTACGACGTCAGAATACGACGGAGAGGGACCGCCAACGCGAGATTACGACGACGAGGTAGCGAAGACGCCAGAATACGACCGCGTGGAAGCGAGATTTATCTTAAATATGTGCCTTAAGTCGGCGTATTCTCGCGTTAATTTTGCCGTCGTATTGTCACGTTATCGATCTCAGGTCGAAGAAGCGAGATTATGAAGTTTGCCATTCGCCCCTACCAGCTACCACGATTAGATATTATAATGGGTCTCTCTCGTTGTTTATCGATCCAATATATGATTCATAATTAATAATTTTGTGATTGTTTTTATAGGTACACAAAGAAAAGCCATACTAATCCCTACCATGTGTCATGGTAAGCTAAGCATTACGGTTCGAAGGAATAAAATAAGCTTGTATAGATAATTGATCGCACGGACTAATTAACACACATTATAGAACGCAACGGGACGTAACTCTAACAAAAACAAGATACACAATACCGACACCATCATTGTAGTTCGACTCGGATTGTCTTATAGTAATATCCTATTGACTAACCTGGACAATTACTTGTAGAAGTCGTACTCTTAAAATAAGACATTGATATCAACTGAGAATATGAATGACATTTATAGAAATTATTCCTCGGTTACGCTACCTATATCCTTCAATAGATTGGAGTATTGTCGACCGTTTTGGTATCAATTACAAGTATCACAACTAGATACATTGCAAAAGTTGTGTGTTGACACTACGTGTCTTTATAAACTTAAATAATAACGATTTGCACTTAAATGCCAAAAATATGTATTTATAAATATAAACTTTATTTATTTTACAACAATTAGGAAACAAGTTATTTCAACTTATATTAATCACAACGGCACTTGCAAGGCAAGTGCGCCATCCACTGCGCCACCCGACCATCCAAATATGTATACATTTTACTGAATTGCAAATCTATATAAATACTTAAGTATAGCGCTGGTATTTTATACTAATACTACACTGTACGTAAGTCCAAAAAAAATGAACATTTAGTGCAGAAATATGTGTGTTCTTAAGTGCAATTCAGTCGCTGAAGCTTAAACGATTTTCATCTTACTTAAAGTCAGAGAAGTATATGCTGTGTAAGTCTCTATTAAAACGTTTTCAAATCACAACGAAAAACGTATTTTGCCATATATGTATTTCGGTCCTTTTTTCACATAAGTACAAAAGTTTGTTGCCTTTATGTTCGTTGTTACCATTATGTGGTGCTTTTTGAACTTAAATACAAAATACTTTGTACTTTTATGAGTGCTAAAATCTTGCGCTAAAGTAGGTTAAGTATATATGTTGAACTAAAACGGCCGCTCCATAGTGGAGAAAACTACGGCCACAACTTTAATCAATGACTACGGATCCATGTTGAGATCAGGCGCTTTCATCTGCATGTATGACACATAATGGTCCGCTGGAAGCCCTTGAAAAACATTTCATTTCCATGGCGTGATAATACTGATGATCAGGGTCACATTGATCGATATTTTTCATATAGATAGTTTCCATTAGCTCTTGCCTAAAAGGGTGACAAGAGTTACTCCCCTTTGGTCGTAACTGTACCAATACATTTTTAGAGACAGAATACACAAAATCTCTGGAAGTATCGAGGTATTTCTCAAAAATACATTTTTTGCCGGTTTGCACGCAATCAGGGAATCGAGATTGGCGATTCCCGTCCGTCTGTCCATCAGTCTGCACTAAGTTTAAGAAGAATGGTTAAGCTCAGTTTCCAAGTTATTAATTATCCCACATCAACTAAAATTGCATGGCTTATGCTTCTAAGGATGCTAATCACATGCGAAGCTTCGGATGCTGGTTCTGACCCACATTTTCCGCTTGACTGAGCAGGTTAAGGGTTAAGAAGATTGGTTAAGGTCCGGTTCATCTGCACTATGGTTAAGAAGATTGGTTTAGGTCACTTACGAAGTAACTTCTTGTTGTACATCAACTAAACTTACATGTTTTACGTATCTAAGGATGCTTACCAATGCGATGCTTTGGATGCTGGTTCTAACCTACATTTTCCATTTCAGTGACCAGGTTAAGACAATTTTTAAGGTCAGTTACTAAGTAACCACTTGTTGTATATCAACTTAACTTGCATGGTTTATGTATTTTAAAGGATGCTTATCACATGTGATGCTTGGGATGCTGGTTCTGACTTAATCAATGATCCCGTTGCTTTTCAATATCCCCCATCTTGAAGATGTACTGCAGCAATCCTGCCAAAACTAAATTTGCGATAATGACATGTTAAGTTAAGCATGTTTTGGGGAAAAAACTAGACCCAGATAATTATAATCTTTTTCTTTTATATCATATGTATGACTTCAAAAGGAAAAAATAAATCATCTATTGTTATCAGGTGTACTTTGTTGTATTCTTTCAAATTATCAATCAATTGAAGTTGATGTATTCGTTACATTATTGGTATTATAGTGGAACGATAATTATAAAAATACGAAATAAGTATATCCACTTTGAAAGCCATCATACGGCCATTTCGCCCATAATAGACTTACCGGTGTTTCTGAAGGTGAAAAGAATGAAAAATACATGTCTCACATGTGCTGAAAATGTAGAAATACCTGCAACCTATAATACCTTTATTACTTTTAGACTATAGAAGAGCTAACACGATAGAGGTATATAAAATCATGACAGGGATATTTCACCTTTCAGTAGTACCATCACCATGAGGGGACATAAACTGAATTTATATAAACAAAGAACGCGCATTAACATCAGGAAACATTTCTTCCTCCAGCGAACGATGGACACATGGAACAGTCTGTAATCAGAGGTTGTAACGTCACAAACTGTCCGAGAATTTGAATCCAGACTTAATCACTTTCGGAAGAGACGCCATATTGTTTAGGGGACTGACTCCAGGGCTCCCCAACCCTGGCAGTTCCTATCAATTTATTTATATATATTTGTATATACTTATCAGTATTATATATATATATAATATTTGGCTGGGGGAAATAAAATATTTGAAAAAAAGAAAAAAGAAAAATATTGGAAGAACCAGCCACTTCTCTATAACAACAGGGAACCTATTGAGGCCACGAATATTTAAGTTAACAAGAAACTAACACTCATTTAATATATAAAGGAACATATTATATCTACATTAAATATGAACCATTTACCTGAAATATAATACAATGTACAGATAATTGATAGTGTATGAACTTACAAATACCGAGCTGTGACATTATCAGCAATGGACTTGTAAAGATTATCATAAATCATGTTATTACCAATAATATCAACCAACCTTTATTTATAAAACAGAGCTGACAGCAGAGGAAATGTAAACATTCCTATGGTCAGAATAAAATCTGTGTCTATTACGTCCACAGATAAAACAGACATTTCACATTTTAACAATTATTTCATGTCAACAGTGTGAGAATAATTTTCTAACCATGAAATAACTGTTATAGCATACACTTGTACGTTCTGGAAGCAATGTGTGAGATTTGTTGGAGCATTAGAACTCTTTTGTGTTCTGAACAAGGGGGAGATAAGCTAGTAGGAAAATTCAGCTGAGAAATTCTTCATAAATGTTTATTGTATTAATTGCACATCTGTGTACTGTAAAGCGCTTTAGAGTGGCTTACATTAGCTAGATAGGGCGCTATATCAAATGTTGTATATTTATTTATTTATAAAACTTTGGGGCTGGTAGCCAGTCTACTGACTATAGCTCGAACGCTACATTAACGTAACGACCTGGAAGCACTGCTTTTGGGGTTCATTCGGAGTGTTTCAATTTTTTGCTATTGTTATTAATTCTTTGACATATATAGCTTCTTCAATTGTCCGGATATTTTAATACACGTGACATACCCCTTACCCCATACAACTCGCTGTCTTCATATGCAAAACAGCTACGTAGCAAAAGATCTCTTTAACACACAATGTCCAAAGCCTTATCAACACGCCGAGTTTTAAAAAAAAATTAAAATCATTTTTTCTTGCATATGGTTTTGAGTTTAGTTCTCATTATTGTTAAATTCAGTTGATAAGACATGTATGTAATATTCCTATACAGGGGTTTTAATTTAAATCTAGATTAACACTGTTATGGAGGGGCAACTTTGTCTTCATTTTACAGATTAAGCTGCAAATACTTTTAACAATCTTCCTACAATTCTAGATGTTATCACAAGTATCTCTCATTGTACGGCCTTATGAGTTAATTAATCTTCAATATTATAATGTTCTAAGTCGTAAATGAGCCATGAGGTATTGTTAAAAACAGTCACATTAAAGCAATAGGCGATTAAAACTCATGTTAAATGTCTCATTATTTTTATTCTTAAATTAAGTAATTAAAAATGTGTATTAGATAATGAAATTATTAAGTATATGTTCAAATAAACGCAGACCATTCTGTGGTGTTCAAACGGAGAATACTTGCAAGGCATGCTAGTCTACGTTCAACGGTATGTATAAAATATCACGTTTTGTTTCAATTGGTGTATTGGCGTGGGTCAAAGTTAGTGCAAGGCATGGACAGTGCTGAATGAAGTAGAAAACTTGTTATATCGCTGGTGTTAAGTCATGGCATTCATGTTTTATATATAACTTATTCGTTCACACGTATACTAGTACATACACAGGTGTTAATACTGTGTATATAGATAGACAAAATCTGTGTTGAATAATATATGGCTTCGATAAACATTCATCTTAAGTACAGCTTTATGCAAATTAAAGTCACCAAATACTTACGGTCAGCGTATATTTTTACATTAATGAACACCCATATATGGTTACATGTATAAATAGTCCCCAACCAAAACCTGGAGTGAGTTGGGATGGGGGATGGGGGATGGGGTTTGGGACTTAAGGTTTGCCCCCCTCCCCGTCCCCCCTCCCCGTCCGTCGGTCCTTCCGTCCGTGCGTCTTGTGCATATCTGTAAGAATCTGTCACTTACCATTTCCGAATTTTGTAAGGACCTCTGGGTATTTCTGAGTGTCGCGCATGGAAACCAAACATCGTACCGCTTTATGTATCAAAGAGTTATGGTCCTTCGTTAATTTAAGATATCAAAGTGTGTTCAGAGATTGCGGACTATTGGTTGCTAGCAATATTTTACCTTATTTGAATTGTAACATGTCTGTTATTTTGTTCGCACCGTTTTGAATTGGCTTTGATCTAGTAAAACACTATTAATATCAGTGAAACAAACTATTGTATATCCCTACAACAAGTGCAATAAATGTATATAGTGACGTTAAGAACAGCAAGACGGTGACTTCACAAATGCACGACAATTGACAAATATGGTGCCGTTTTCCTTTGTTTTCCCCGGTCTAAAATATTCACAAAATATGTACAGGTAATTGAACATGCTTTAGCTTAATATATAGGATGAAAACGTTAAGAAACTCTTTCCATTTTTCCTAAAGCTTGGTTCATTAAATCATGTGTAATAGGAAAGAGTTTGTCGTTCTCATACAATTGGTTGTATATCTCTGTTTTTAAAACATATTTTGAAAAATATATTTATATAATTTTTTAACTGGTGCCGTTGACAGAAAACTAATATTTTCACGCAAATAAGCAAAACTCCTAAATTCTGCCATATATATATGTATGAATAAAATATATATTGTATTCAATGGGAAAACAATTAACGTTTCTATTTATTACATTATTAAACTACTAACAGCATCAAACAGTTAAAGATTTGATTGCATAATATTTTCCGCCATATTCTAATGACTTCACGTTGACAGCAAGACTGAAAATGATTGCAAACGGGTTATTGAAATCCTACCATTTTCTGCTTATTTCTGGTAAGATTTGATTACAAGATGTCACTAACTGGGTACTTAGATACATTATTTCTTGCATGTAGCAAAGATGTGCGTTAACAACCGCTTTTTTCTATGATCGGGTCGTCTACATCTAACCAGAAATCCCTGAATTTGGGTGCAGCGAATGGGAAAAACCCTTTTGATTGGTCAATACCTAAAGTTATATTTTCAAACTGTTTGATAATTATAGTTTTTGATATATTTAACAATGTTAAAGTTAGATAAAGTTGTAGACCTCAATATGCCACGGACAAAAATGTAACAAATTACTCTCTTCTTTGTTCCTACAGATGTAGATCCCTCAGCACCACCTCTCGACGATGGCAACGACCAAAACGACCTGACGTTCGAGCTGTTGATCTATACGAATTCAACGCCTCAGCCATGAAGGTTCTAGAGAAAGTTTTAAACAGATATCTACTAGACAGTTTCTTTACATACCCTTCTCAATGATTCAATAGGGAAATATGGACTAAGGACAATACTTAATAGTTGACAAAATGCAAATGCAAGGAAAGTGTGTCCCAAAACGTAAGGGCATACTCCGTGTATTAGCGGGGCTAGTAGCGTTTACAGCGCTATCCGTGTTTGTTGAGTTGTCTGTTGCAGACTGGCGATATGACATCGTGGCAAACACAAACCCAGAACCTCCGCAAGACGTTCTTGTCATCGACATCCCACCAACTGCCATCCCGGTGAAGAAGGAGAAGATCGTATACCAGTCGTACGAGAAAGATTTCGCCTACCCATCTTTTGTAAACTTGTCCGCATTAGTTGCCGAGGCAACCCGAAAGAACATGACTTTTATACAGAACCCCCCGATAAACTACCATCCTTATAGGTATAACAACGTGCCAGCCAACTGCCGACTACCGATGGATGGAGGTTCTACAAAACGCATCCTCATCATTGTCAAGTCGTTTGTGGGAAACGTTGAGATGCGTGTTGCAATAAGATCGCTTTGGGAGAAGATTAAAGACCCTTACATGGCTCTCGTGTTCATGCTGGGGGAATATCCGAAGGAAAATAATGGCCGACGCTGGCCCATAGACAGGGAGAATAGGATCTACAAGGATCTTATACAGGAAAACTTCGATGATTCCTACTTTAACAATACATTGAAGACCATCATGGGGTTTAACTGGGCAGTGAACAAATGTCCACAGGCGGACCTGCTTCTCTTTCACGATGATGACTATCACGTGAAATATACGAATCTGTCCATTCATCTTCGAAAAGTATTAGCAGTCAACAAAACAAACATCTACAGCGGAAGTTTGGCGGTAAAAGCAAGACCTTACAGAAATCGAGGAGAGCGTTGGTTTGTAACCATTCATCAGTACCCGTTCGATGTTTTCCCGCCTTATGTAGGCGGTGGAGCGTACGTTGTGTCAGCAGACGTGGCAAGGAAATTTCAAATGGCGTTCCCACATGTACGGTACCTGAGTTTTGACGACGTGTATTTAGGAATTGTGGCTAGGAAGTTAGATATCATACCTACAAGCGATATGCTTCTCGATACTCTCTACCCGGATGCTCTCGCGCAGGAGTGTTCCCATAAAGCGAACGAATTATTCAGAGGTCAGTGTCCTCTAGCGATCAAAAAGCGGCAAATAGCAAACACGCCGGAAATTGTTGAGGAGAGTGAAACGAATAACACCGATAACAGTAGCGCTATGCCATATCTGTCGTTTGAAAATAGTTTTTCTTTCCCGTTAGAGGCTAATATAAGATCGGCAATTAATGGGAAGATAATTCATAATCATAGAATAAATCTCAGAAATATAAATGCTCATCCCTATCTGTATATAAGTGAACCGGCAGAGTGTAAGTTTGCCAAACACAGTCAAAATATCATTGTATTTGTGAAGTCTTATGTTAAAAATGTAGAACAAAGGGCTGCAATACGTAGGATGTGGAACGAAAGTCTTCAGACGCATTCCACATCTCTAAAGTTGGTTTTCCTCCTCGGACAGGGAATCTATCCAGAAGACAAACCTCCTGTGGAAGCGGAGGTCGAGACTCACAAAGACATTTTACAGGAGGATTTCACAGAACACTACAGAAACAATACCTACAAAGTTGTTATGGCACTGAATTGGGTAATGGCGAATAAAGCATGTTTTAGGACGCGTTTGCTGCTGTTTCTAGACGACGATTACTATGTACATCAGAAAGAATTGCTGACATATTTGCACGGGTTATCCAACCATAATACACTATTTCTCGGAAAAGTCATGAAAAAGCAGGTTCCATGCAGACTTGAACGCGACAAGAGAAATCTTGTCTACAAGCAATATCCATTCGATATGTTTCCTGACTATATAAAAGGTGGTGTGTTTTTATTGTCATTCGAAGTTGCCCGTAAGTTTCAGCTCTCTTTTCCATACGTGAAGTATCTTCCCCTGGACGATGTGTACCTTGGAATCGTGGCCTGGAAGTTGCACATAGACCCCAAACATGACCTAGTTTTTGACACATCGTCGCGTTCTGCTTTAACTTACGAATGTTCACATGTTGCCGCGCGGCTTATAAAAGGAAAATGTCCTCTGCGCGGAGAAGTTATAAAGAGTACTGTTCCTAAGATAACCAGACGAAGAGAAGGATTTTTTTCCCGTTTGATGAAATTACCTCAAATTTTTCAGTCCTTGTTTGGTAAGTTTACGAAATAAATATAATTTAACATTCATACTGGTTGATTTTATTTACCATAGATAACGCAACGCATGAATCTGTATGTATAGCATGTGTAATTTCACCAGTTTGACGTCACAAGAAAACTATGATGAACGATTAGAAAGAGAGGTAGTTAAAGTGTTATCAGTTGTAGTAAATATTTACCATTGTATGGAATTACCATTATGTAACCATACCACATTCAGATGACATTAATATAACCTATGAATGTCATGAGCCGATTGTTGACGTCATCATAATTATGACGTTATAATTGGATACCACTGACCACCTGGACAGATAGCCATTCTGTAAAAAAAAAAACATTTAAGAATATTTTATTGTACTGATCCTATGTACAAAAGGTACAAAGGAATTGGACAACAGGCATAGCCTATATAAGCCCTTTCCTTACAAAATATAACAGCATATACGCATCATACAGACGGTTCTTAAAATATGTTTCTTTTGTATTAATTTGTTTTGCATTTTGATTTTGATTGGACAATACATATTTCAATTATCGCAATTGTTGTAGGAGAGATTATTTGACAATACTACTTGAGAAGCTAATAAAAACATCTGGTGTCTCTAATGTAATTCTGAACCGTCTCCACAATATTTCTATTCATTCAACAAGCATATTAGATAAATCCATTACTTGAATATTCAAATCTGAATGATAGTTAATGCAAAATGAATTTTCAATGAGATAAACAATTTCGAAAAATAGTAAATATATATTGCAAGTATTGAACTGCTTTTAGTTGGCATTCACAGGCAATATGAATGCCAAATGGGCAAAGAAAAATCCAACATGAAGCAGTGGCACGCTTAATTAAATTTGCTTTTGTTCAGTTGGCATTCATATTGCCTTTGTTTACATGTACTCACTTTGATTTGCTTATATATGTATATAATATATATATCTTGTTTATATAAATGAAAATCAATATTTTGTTTTAGCAAGGTAAATTTATATCAATATTTCTTTTAGCGTTTATATCAGATTTATATTATAATGATATAAACCAATTTATTGTAATTTCAATGAGTTTACTAAGTCCTTTTCTACCTTCATATTTTCATTAAAGATGGACGAGCTCGGTCGATTGTACACACAACCCCTGTAGGCGATGGTAACACTTGCTGTACATCACAGTAACCTCCTGTTAATACTTATCAATTACATGTTAATCTCTTGGATATAATAGAATGTTTACCCTACAGTGGTGGTCATAAGATGTGTTCTGTTATAAGCTCTATCAACCAAACTATGCGACCGAGCGGTGCACAGAAAGCGCCTGAGTATAGCTAGTATGATGATTGCTGTTTGTCTACCTCGATACATTGATGTAGGCCAAATATCAATGAATCGATAAATTTTCCAAAGCGCCTTAGCCATATCGCTTCAGGTTTAGAACACGCGTATCAATGCGACGTGAATCGGCTTTGTTATTAAGATTCACACCTTTGATAATGAACATGTTTTTTAAAATCTTCCACTGTTTTGTTAAAGAGTTCAATTCTGGTCTTTGTTGGGCAATCAACACCAAGGTTGATATATGATCTTGTTGACGCTACAGACAGCAATGTAAATGGTTAACACACATATACCAACTGAATACTGTCACAAAATGGAGCGAGTTTATGTGTAGTAAAAGAGACATGGTTTGAGGTTTAAAATCTTTCACGATAAAGACGTGGATGTGCTTGGATCAAGTGAAATCAAGAAGGTTGGGTAAGTATCAGTATTAATATAAATGTATTGATAATTTATTGATTTTACCATAAACTATTAATGCTGTAGTAGAAACAAGTAAGACGCAATGTGGTGGTATCTAATATAAATAAATATAATAATAATACATAACAGAAAAAAGCTTGGCATGGTATTCAATTACGAAAAGATGACATATATTTTCTATGTCAAATCACTCTATTATCAGTTATTATACAAATCAAAATAATATATATCCTGGACGGATTTGTCGAGTGATTAACACTCCGGCCTTCCACACAGGCGGCCGGGGTCCGATCCCCGAATTCGTCGCATGGATATTCAGAGAAACTGTTTTTCACCTGTCCACACAACTCCATTGACCCATGTGGAGTATGCATTGGTCTAGGGTTGATGTTGCGGTATCTGTGCTGTGGCATTCAAGTGAGGTGGCACTATAAATGATGCCATCGGAAAGACGGTCCTACCACAAGCATACACACACAGGGAGATATTAGCCAGGTGGCATAGGACTAGTAGCTAGCGCCTGCTAACACAGCTCCTGCGAATTCCTTAATATTGTATTGAATAATATATATGCTTATTGTATTAATTGTATATCTATGTACTGTAAAGCGCTTTAGAGTGGCCTATGTTACAGTAGCTAGATAGGTCGCTATATCAAATGTTTATTATTAATTTTATTATGATATATATATATATATATATACTGTATATATCTGTTTATGTATTCAAACCGTATACTTATTCATAAAAGGACATGTAATATACAAAAATAGTTGACAAGTGAGAGGAGTTAGACGATCTTGTTCATGGATGAAGGATAATGTATACTACTATTTCAGTACTTCTTAACAGTGCATATAACAACATTTCAATGATGTATCATACTAATTGTATTTCAGGGTAAATATATATACTTAAGTATAAAATCAGTATTGCTCCCGGAATATGATACATAAACATTAAGTTGTCAGCTGGTCGAAGCTGCCTTTTAAAAATGAAATGCCTCAATCACTTTGTTTGCCGTGCACATACCAACCTTATCTGTGATATAAAATCATAAGTGTTTGTACAATGTGTATACTGTTGTGTACTTCTCTTTTGTAAGCTGTAGTTTTATTATATATCACAGTTTGTTGACTGACTCTCAACGATAATGAAATTGTATCGAATGTTCTCCTAGGGGAGATATCATTTAAATGCGTCACCGGTAATTGTGACGTCATCAAAATTGAATGACGAATTCAATACTCCACATGTGTTTTGTTTACAAACAGACTACTGTCGGTGGAGTTGTGACTGAAATAACAGGATTGGAGTAAAACAATCATCCCCTTCCTTGAGAGTGTAACAGAGAAATCTCTAACCCTCGGGGTGATTTTTGTTGCTTACCTTCGGCAGAGCCTTGGGTTAGACAACCAAATACATCACCCCTCGGGTTCGAGATTTCTCCGTCACACCCTCAAGGTAGAAGGAGATTCTATTAGTCGTTTCCTTGTGGAGATAGCCTCTAGCAGAATAGCACGTGTAAAATTGATACGACAAACGTGATTTTATTTCCAACATACCAGACTTTTCTCAGTTAAGTTGTACACGTGATGGAAAAATATAGGAATCCCCTACCTTGCAGGTATAACAAAAAAGGGAATTTCAACCCTCGGGGTAAATATTTGGTTGCCTTACCCTCAACAGAACCTCGGATAAGAGAACTAAGTGATAGAGGTTTACATCCTCAATGTAGGGATTTTTTTTATTTATCTCTATATTTTTTAAGTAATGATGAACATAAATAAATAAATATACAACATTTGATATATATAACAATGTTATTTCAGTTTTTCTATATAAATCACAATAAAATGTATATAATTCATTACTGTGGATATAAGAATAATTGCTTCATTCAGTATTGAAGTATATCTAATAACATAATTCAGTATTGATATATTCTACAATATCATCTTAGTATCGACGTATATACATGTATATATTTTTTTCGTATAATATGATATCAGTATTGAAGTAAACATATTTTTTACAATATGATTTCAGTATAAATGAGCAACTTACATATTTTTCTGTTACGGTGATTATTACAAGATATTATTTTAAGTTTGACGGCTATCTTTCCATCAGATTTCAGATTTGATGTGGATATTTTGATGTTATGTTTTTCAATTATTTGAAAGTAGTAAATAGGTAATAATTATCACATGTCAATTTTTGCGTTTATAGGTTGATGCAAAACAAGACTTGTCAGTTTGTGGATGACGTCAATCCCGAAACCCCGCGACAAACATGGGCTACAAAGGTGTTTTTGCAGCTGATTCTACCGACGATATTATGCATATTTGAATTTTAAATCGATTACACTAACATATTGCAAATACAAACGTGTAGCTAACACACATTTGCTAGAACATGACTTCGCGAAAATCCAAGAAGCAGATAATTGTCACGACGGTAATTCTATTCATAGTTGGTAACATAAGTCTGGTGTTTGAGATTAGTTCTGTTGAAGAATCGTATGGTCGTAGAAAGCTTATCATAAGTGGCAATATGTATCAAAACGTTTCTATCTTTCAACATTATCCTCTTGATGTAGATCTAGCAAATGTTGTCAATGAGGCAATATTACATAACACAAACATTCCGTATAAACCCATTAACCCGTATTCCTATAAATGTATACACACTCCTGTTCCGTGTGATTTTAAACGAGCCGAGAATGAAAGCAATTCAATCCTTATCGTTGTGAAATCACATGTACTTAACACCAACCAACGACTTGCTATTCGACATGTGTGGAAGAATGCACGTGACAAACGCGTTCGGCTGGTATTCCTGCTTGGAACTTACAGTTTAGAAGGCGAACAATGGCGGATTGAAAAAGAAGTTAAACTGTATCACGATATCGTTCAGGGAAACTTCGTCGACAGTTTTGATCACATCACATACAAAATAGTTATGGCATTTAACTGGATCGATAGACATTGCACCCAAGCTGACTTTTTGCTATTCGTTGATGATGATTTCTACGTGTATCCGACAGCAATGTTGACATTTCTAAGACAACTACCAAATCAACAGGATACATTTATTGGAAAAGTAATACAGAAACAATTTGTTAAACATAATTAAGATATTCAAAAAACGCCTAAATTTAGGCATTATACATTTAAGGAAATACCGACGTATGTGCATGGTGGATCATTCGTGATGTCACAAGACACGGCGCACAAGTTTCATATAGCTTTTCCCTATGTTAAATACTTTGAAATTGATGATATCTATCTTGGAATTGTGGCACAAAAACTCGGCATCCATCCGCGGCATGACTCGCGTTTCGACACCAGTAGCCCCCTGGCACTAGCCTTTGAGTGTTCTCACTTTGCCCCGAGACTGTTGAAAGGGGAGTGTCCCCTATCTGGATGGCGCAGGACTCTCCCTCCTGTAACAGTAACACAGGTGACAAAGAAGCCCGATACCTTCTGGGTACGCCTCAGGATGTTACCCCAAATAATGAAATCTGCAGCAAAACAGACGTTTCATTCATTTGTATAGGATATAACAATGTTCTTTTAGAACCATAAGTACTCATAAGTATTTGCAATAAATACATATTTGATAAGTTTACGTTTTACTGTTGACATGTACTTCTAGTTACATTATCTGATATCTTTTTTTCCAATCAAAGTTCTTTTATATCAAATCATGTAGTCTAATGTGAGAAGGCGTGATTAAGTTGAGATATCTTATCATTCGCACTGTTCTTGCACTGTAGTTACATGTATTTCAGTCGTACATAAAACAGCACATATAAATGTAGATATTGTTACATGCAATTACAGCAGTGACATTTGCTAAAGTACTATTTCAAAAATGTACAAATCCTTGCCCAAGTTTCAAAACGTTTCTTAACTTAAAGAAATGCCTTAATTTAAATCTTAAGAAAAGGAAATTTTCCTTGAAGTTTGTAATTTCCCCATGTAAAGTGTAAGGTTCGAAAGACTTTACTTGGGTAAGGTAACGTTAAGGAAAATGGAATATTATATAATTGCTATGACATAACATTGTGAATTGAAAACATAGCTAACGTTTCTTTCTTGCAATATTTCAAGATTTAGATTATTACAATTTCTAATTATGAAATAAAAATCAAGGTCATTCTCAAAAATGCATATCTATCTCTTATTGTATCAATAGCAGGAGGCAACAAATCTGAATAGAAACAACATGTGTTAGAGGGAAACCTCGTCCGTTTTCCACTCAGAAAAAAGCTTACTCCGCTAATATAAACCTTCTATGTAGTGTTTAAAACAGCGTAAATGCCTAAAGAGTAGGTTAATTTGCGGTTTAAGGTTAGCTAATCCGTCGACAATCACTTTCATTATGACTTCCAATAGAATAAATAAATTTAATTCAAACTTATAAATGTCGATAAATAAATCCTCAAAACGATATATGTTTTGTTAAAGACCTCAGTGGTTATGATCACTTACGCTCTCTGCACTCCTGGAATATGTCATAGCAAAAAGTTAGGCTCAGTGTGCGCCACCTTCTGATAAATCAAGAAGACTAGCTTGATCCATTGATGTATATCAAAAGAATCTCGCGGTCGCAAAACGGTAAAGTTGACTAGCTTTGAAGTCGGGGCCGCTCCTCAGTAATCTTCAAATGAAAGATATCAGCCTAGTGACTGGTCAGGGTACTTTTATCTGAGAGTAATAAAAAAAGTAGTCGCGCGCCTTCAATTTTGTTATGACATATCCCAGGGTTGCAAAAATCGAACGTGAGTGTAACCCCTGGAGTATCGAGGATGGCCCTGAGGATATATCAGGTGTAATTGTGCAACTTGTACAAACCTCTAGTTCAATACCTCCTCTTAAAAAGGGCAGGATATAAATCAGTAACGATAAGTGAATACAATATGTATGTATTACCGTGCGAGTTTGAAACTAAATTCTTGCAGTGTTGACATTTTAAACTTATCACCTGTCGCAATATAACCCTTCCCATATCATATCATGTATCAACAGGAGACCCCAGATGTCCCGAAGGCAATAGGGCTAATATAGATCGATGGCTAATATAGATCGAGGGCTAATGCGGGTTAGGATGTGGAAGTGGTCCTATGATAACATTGCTATCATATACTGATCGTTATATATATTTGTCTACAATATCAAAAGGTTAAGCAAAAACAAAACTCGAGTGTAACGGAGGCATGTTTTCTAAAATGAGTTGATGACAAAGAACTATCGATTAAAGGGAGGTAATTCTCGAGCAAGTTTTAAACGATTTCAAAATATTCATTGAATAAGGTTACGCTGGCTCTAAATGACCGGAGTTGATGATGGGCTGTGAAATAAAAGCACACACTTCTCACATTTGGCGTTCGGTACGTAAACCTTAATCAAATTACGTGTAGGTTCCTTTGTCGCATATTTGGCAATATAAGAGTTAGTTTTATGGACTTGTCATGTCAAGACATTTTTTGTGTAAGTTGGGCACTGGCTCTTAAGGTCATAGGAGTGTGTTGATAAACGGAAATAGGAAGTACATCTCTAGTTGAAAATCCAATGTAGGGAGACAGTATCACAATTTCCGCATATTCTAATGAGTCAAGAGCTGTGATGAATATTGCATGTTTATTAATGACAGAACAGTGTGTTCTCTCAATATTAAAGTATTTCAAGGCAATCCAGGCATTAATTCAGATCTTTTTTTTATCAATGAGTCACATGTGTCCATTTTTCTATACTTCAGGAAACCTGCTACCTAGCTATTACAACTGTGTAGTTTTTCAAGAAAGATAACTCTTACATGCAATTACTATGTGTATATGGTTTTATTATAAAATGTAATTTTAAAATTAATTTTACACAATTTCAGCATTTATTAAATTAATAAATATTAATGCAATACTAATTTCTGTCAGTATCATTTTTATTGACATTATTTTGCAAAAAAATGTGTCTTTCATTTTTGTTTCAAAATTCACTCCTAATTACATAAATTTCCATTTAAAATCATTAAAATTCTGACAACCTATATTTTTTTGTGGCAGAAAATTTTCTTTACTTCAAAGCAATATAACTACAAAATTTGAAAAAAATCTACTGAGAAATGGTGACACAATCATATTACCTTGGACAAATGTAAACGTTATTGATAAAACAAAATTATTAACAATTTATACTATTGATTTATTTGTACGTTTTCAACTTATAAATTGTTATTTGCAAATATGAAATCAATTCGAGTTTGGATAATGTATTTGCCTTCATTTGCCAATATGCTATTGCCATGTTGACAAAAATACATTTCCGGGTATTTTTACCATGTACGCTGTCAAAGAACACACTGCACATGATTTAAATAAGAAAGTTAAACACACAAAAAAATGTTTCAGAATGCACCAAAGACATAATGAAAGAATCTTACAACAAAGATGTATGGGTGTTCGTTTACGGAATGACTTGTATTTTAGTAATAGCCATACTTTTATAAACGCTAAATAACGTACGTGAATACACTGTGGTTGTAATTACGTATAATTCCATTTAAATTCTTTTTTATCATTTTATTGAAAGGGTTCTCAAAATATGACTCTCAAAAGAAAACATGTTGACCCAACAGCACTTCAACAATCTTGGACACTAAAGCGGATGAATAAAGGGGTCTCACCGTGTTATTTAAATCAGATGACTAAGCGTCTCATTGACAAATGTAAAAATGGCGGCTAACGTTACCGTGCCTGCATTGGAAAGGATTGTAGCTTTTTTTATACTGGTTACCATGAATGAATAACATAATTCTTGTTAGTGTTCAATAATTACTAGAAATATTAAATAAGGAAGAAGTTAGAATGAAAAATTAGAATGATAACATTTGTAACAGAATTTACGCAACGGATTAATAATATATCTCTCAATATTGAAACGTGTATTCTTCGTAAATATTTATGGGGTAAATAAAGCAATCATGTCCTCTGTTAAGTTGCAAATTCATTTCAACAAGATTTCTTTTGATAATTAATAATGTTTGATAAAATTCTAAATATAGCCTTTTATAACTCTGCCGAATCTCTGTCAAGGATCCCCATACCACTGCCCAAACTGTAGATATACACTAGAAATTGTTTTCCGGTATGACTATAGCTTAGATAAATCATTGTTGAAAAGAAAACAAAACCTTGAAGGACTGTTCTGAAAAGAAATAAGGAATGTGAAATATGCAAGATATAATCAACAAGAGTGTTCTGCCGGCATTGAGTGGGAATCGAGTCCTGGACTTCAGATAGTTATACTAACGCTCTAACCATTGAGCCACCTGGTCAACTAAGTTTACCTTACCGATAGTGTAACAGTAACGTCCGTAACTGAATTAAGCAGAGGTTACTGTATAACTGTATATTCAAAACACCACAGTTCTTAGGGACAAGGATCTTTAATAAAAAAAAATATCTTTATTTGGAAGCACGTGTACAATGCAGACGCTAGCCGTGACGTCATTGTTCGACCAATCCGGTCTTTCTGCACCAAGACCTCGAAACGAGATGGTCACGGGTCAAAGAGTCGATTTACCCGGCTAGTCGAGATTGACACTTGAATTGTTTTGTTAATCAATACGCCCTACCTTAAACATGTGTTGGCTTGTAAGTATATCAACTGTACCCTGATTGAGATATCCCGTTACTTGATCAGGGACTTATAACATTCATGACAGTTTCGAGTTCAAAAACCTTCTATTGTTATACCTTTGATTAAATGAATAAACATCCGATTTCCTCCCAAGTATTGCAACACGTTAAGGCTGTTATTCAAATATTCTCTAGTATGACAGGGTGTACTTTAATGTGTGACAGCTCTGGCAACGACTGGTCCTTGAAGCATTTAACAGGTGTTTTTCAGGTAATAATATACATTGTTTTGTCACTATCTATTTATAGAAGATATGATAGTTCTTTGGTATATAAACTCTCAGTTTGTTGTCATATTGTCTGCCGACGTTGATGATATATTCCTCATCTCGTATATCAAGTAATCATTAACATGTGACAAGATGGTTGATTCTCTCAGTGGACTATCAGTCCCCTAACTTGGCCGTAACCGTGTAGCTGGAATTTATTTTGGCACGATGTTACATGAAATACAATATTGAAAATAGATTACCTGTTGTCGCCAAAAGTTGTAAATTTGTTTTGTCATAAAGGGTTTTATAAGTATCTTTCCCCTTTTGATCAATATACACATACTTCTAAACATTTTCTTGGTCAGTATGGATAATGAAAAGTTATTTTTACACAACCATATAGTTGTTATATATGTACCGAAATGACTCGATTCAGCTACGCTTTGTTTAATCCTTGGTATTAAGGTATAAAACAAAGCGTAGCTGAGCCGAGTCATTTCGGGACATTTATAACAACTTTTGTACATACGCTTACAGCGTAGCCGAGTCGACATCGGTTTTGTGGACAACTCGTACACATTTTACATCTTTGTGTGCATACGCTTCACTGGCCATTTGTCTGATGAAGGTGACAGTGTACATATCGTACAAGTCATCGAAACGTCACATTGGAAAAATTGTATTGGTTGTGTAAAAAGAACTTTTTATAATAATACACATACATACGTTCGGAATATGTTAGCCATTTCTTTTGGTCATTGGTATCACACTGAGTCTAACAAATATGAAATAGACATGCCGTACTTTATTTGGCTTTTGGCATTGACATCCTCAGTTTTGAAATAGGCTGTTTCTTACTTAATATATCGAGTGATTATCTCGTTATAATCAATTAAACTGTTGTATTTAAAAGTACAAGATTTGCTCATGATTACGGATTTATTTGTTTATATTCATAAAAGTATTACCTGTTATACTTTTATACTAGCATAGGAATAATAGCAACTTTCATGTTTATGCTTGCGTATGAATTTTCTATGACAATCTGTAATATTTTGGTTTTCATTTTTCTGCAGAAACGGTTATCAGAAGAAATGACATGAAATCGAAATCAACGCCCACGATAGTGTATGTCCATGCCTTTTCACGCATAGAAGTATAACTAACCATTGCTACTATGGCGAAATGGACGGTTACTCGACCTCGCTGTCCCTTGTTTCATCCTATCTTTGCCGTAAGCCTGATCAGTGTTCTTGGCCTGCTGTTACAGATGCTGAATCTTGCCCTGAAAACTACAAGTAGGCCATCCATTTGGGACAGTGAAGGAAACATTCACTCATTCCTAATTCCAACGGACGAATTAAACTCATCTGACATTGAATACCTGTCGTATCAAAAGGCTTACGCGTATCCCCCTGAAGAAGGCAATCTGTCTCAGATGATTAGGGATTACATTTCACATGACAAACCAATACCCCTTAAAGTTATCAATCCTCATCCATTCTCATACATACATCGTCCGTTGCCATGCAGTTTCGATAATGGTGCTTCTGGCAAGATGATTGTGCTTATAAAGTCCTTTGCTTTAAACTTTGGATTTCGAAAGGCTCAAAGAACACTCTGGAAGAGCGTGAACCAGACATCAATGTGCTACGTGTTCATGCTAGGTTATAACGGTAATCCGGGTGTTCAGAGGAGGATAAATGAGGAAGCCAATCGCTATAGGGACGTTATGCAAGAAGATTTCATCGATGCTTACTTCAACAACACTTACAAAACAATCATGGCGTATAACTGGGTAGTACGATATTGTCCCGACGCTAATATTTTGCTGTTTCAGGACGACGATTACCACGTTAAATGGAATGAAGTTGCAATCTATATGCGGAAACAATTCCAGGATAAGAGTGAGAATGTGTATTGTGGTAGTCTGGCCCTTAATGCCCCTCCATATAGAAAGGAGAATACTAAGTGGTTTCTTACTTTCCAGGATTATCCTTTTGACCTGTTTCCGCCGTACATAGGAGGGGGTGCATATGTTGTGTCTTTTGATGTCGCTCAACGATTTCAACGTGCATTCTCTTATGTCAGGTATTTAGGTATAGATGATGTCTATCTCGGCATTGTGGCCCAGAAACTGTCCATTCGGTCAGAAAACGAGACTCTCTTAGACACAGTGAACAGAGATTCACTAGCTAAAGAATGTTCGCATGTCGTTGATAACATCATTAATGACAAATGTGATTTAGCTGACAGGAAGCGGGAAATATTTGAGCTTGGGTTGCAGACGACAACACTTCCAACTAAAGCCATAGTACTTGTAAATGGTCAACCAGTTGAGGTGGATGATACTATATATTTATCATACGACGAAGAATTTGCATATCCTTTGAAAGTAAGACTTGATGAAGCAGTGAAGGGTGTGGTACTATACAACAACAAAATTCGTTTTTCTCCTATCAATGTTCATAATTTTTCGACAATAAATCAGCCATTGCCATGTTCATATCCGTCGCAAACGGGGAGACATCAAAACTTGCTCATCCTTGTAAAAGTAGATTCAAGCAATTACAAAATACGCAATGAGATCAGATCTTTGTGGAAATCTCTTAATGATCCTGCGATCAGAGTGATATTCCTGCTAGGACATTCCTCGAAAATTCAAACTCGAGTCGACAAGGAAAGTGCTCACCACAAAGACATTCTACAGGAAAAGTTCAAAGAGCACCATATGCACTCTACCCGCAAAATTGTAATGGGATTTAACTGGGTAGAGACCAAATGTTCTAAGGCCGACCTGGTGTTAGTGTTAGAGAGTATATACCACGTTAACTCGACACAGATGATAGATCATCTGCAAAGATTATCAAAGAAGAAAGACGTTTTCATAGGTAAACTTTGGAAAAATGTTAGTCCTCACAGAGAAAAAGATAATAAATGGAAACTGAGTTATGACCATTATCCATTTGACAAATTCCCTCCCTATTTGTCAGGTGGAGCTTTCGTGACATCTTTTAACATTGTACGTAAGTTTAAAATTGCTTTTCCATATGTTAAGTACTTCGGAATTGACGATGTTTACTTGGGTATAATTGCAAAGAAGCTTCGCATAATACCGACACACGACTCCTACTTTGAACCTCTTAGCACAATAGCTCTTGTTAAGAGGTGCCCTCGAGAGTTTTATAGGATCGTTAATGGACGATGTGTGGAGCAGAATTCTCTTCCGTCGTCAGGTTCTAATAAACATTATATGTGCAACATTTTTCTTTACTTTTACCTTTCTGCGTACTCTTTTATTCAAATTTTATATTTCTGCTGATGAAATAAGTCTTATTATTATAATGACAATTGATTCTCAATTTTGCTAATTTTATATTATAGCTAGCCATTTGGCATTTTGAAACATGTTGAATTGGAGAAAAATAATCTTTATCCAATATTAAGCGATGGTACTTTGTACAAGAATATAATGTCTAGCCCTCAGCAGAGCCTGAGACTGGAAATTTCAGAATGTCGAGATTTTGCATGTTTACGCGATAGAAGATTGCTTTTCAGATAGTTAACTTTATACTATCAAACTGCATAAAAGTTATTAATGTTATAATATTCTTTTCTTGGCTTTTACCATATTGATATGCATACAACATTTATTTACATACAAGATGTGTATTATTTGTGTATGTATTGTCAAAATAACAGTATCATTTTCCTTATTTGAACCTGTTGCCAATCTGTATCACAAAAGATTTCATTTAATACATGCTTAACATCCATCCAAGTTCTAAGAATGAATTATATATAATATTTGCAATATTTCATTAAAAAAAATCGATGCAATGTTCATTGTGTTATGTAAAACAATGTATTCTATTATCTTGTTCATTTTATCAAATACATTAAAATACATTGTATGTTATTTAACGGTTAAGGTATCATCATCAATAAACATTTGAATACAAACTGACCTTTTTATGAATTATGTTTCGTAAAAGAAAAGAAAAAACCTAATGAACATTTTAGCAAACAGCGTTTTGGCCCTCGCATTGACATTATGCTTAATACATTAAGATACATTTTCGAACAAGATATCGATATATTCGGCCATACAAGTGAACTATTACAGGAACTTTACCATTTTTGTTTGTTTATTTCATTGTGTAGTAGCTACAACAGCGAAAATTTCATTTCACCAAAACAGTTGGAGGTATTAAAATCCACGATTGCTAACGAGGCTATAAGCCATTTTGAATGGCTACTCAACCCAACTGTATTTCATTTGTTTTTAACTTTAGCTTACTGAAATACGATAAATTGTGTATTTATATAAACATCTTGGTGTATGCATCAACCATGCACCAATGCAATTGATACAAAATGCTATTCTGCTCGGTAACAGTGTAAATATCTTTTGTCCCCCTGGCTTAAATGTAATAAAGGATGAGTGTCTACAAGGCCATTTTTGGGCCCAGGCATATTCGAATTTTGCCCTTCTAAATTGTCCTACTGTATTGCATGCACAAAAACTTTGACCGAAGGTGAGATTTTGTGGGTACAAAAAAGAGGTAAGTAAATCACAAATAAAGTTTGCTGTTTTCAAAATGAGCTTAAAAACTGAAAAAATTCCATTTCTGTTTTTGAAAACATGTGTTAACTAAACATATATATAAAAGAATTTAAAATGACAGAAATTCAATCGTCACTTTAAAATCGTTTATAAAAAACAAAGGATTAAGTCAGGATGCTTTTAGGTAGTTTTCAAATGAAAAGTGTTTTGTTTTCTCAATCATTTCCTTTCTTATATATATTTTGAGTTGAAATTTTTACAGTGTTCATTACGTTCAAATATATCAAAATCTACTGGCACATCGTTGAACACAAGCCTTCGATAATTATGGTACTGTCTATAAATTGCATTTTAAATCAATTTAGATATTATTGAATGAAAAACCTTTACGATAATTTTGAAACCATGAATAAATAAAACTAAAAACACAAAAAAGATAAGTTGAAATATTTAAGCTTCATTTAATGTTTACCAGATGTAAATATTTGTTGAAAAAACAGTAGTGATTTCTGAATCAACATCATCATATTTGTAAATACATCTGTCAAATTCTTTATTGTATATTCAAACCCTTTAGCTACACGTCCAGTGGAAACATATGCGACAGTTTGACATCGTGCCGCCAATAACTCTGAGGGAGTATGGGAGCATTCCTTTGTAATGCTTAAATGGTCTCTTCTCGACAGTTCTGTAGAGTGCCTTGGAGATATTGACAATATCTGAGCGACTATCCCTAGGTAAACGTCATCTACACCAATATATCTGACGTAAGGAAACGCCATTTTGATTTTTTTGCTGACGTCATAAGAAATGACATAAGCCCCTCCCGCTAGGTATGGTGGATACGATCTAAAGGGGTACACTTTAGGATCGACAAACCACGAAGATCCTACATTCCTATACGGTTGTGCCCGCCTTACAAGGTTTCCAATGAATAAATCTGTGTGATTCTTTCCGGACTGGTATAGAAATTGAACCAGTTTATCCCATCTTACAAAATAGTCATCATCTAGAAATACCAACAATCGTGCCTCAGAGCAATACTGAGTGGCCCAGTTAAATCCCATAATAGTTTTGAAGGTATTGTTAGAGTAGGCATCAACAAAGTTTTCCTGTATCAGATCCCCGTATGTTTCATTTTCCTGAGTAATCCTGTCTTTATAATTGTCTCCAAGTCCTAACATAAATACGAGTTTAACACTTGATCGTGTAGCTTTTCTTGCCATTTTTCTTATAACAACTCTTTGGTCGATGCTTCCCACAAACGATTTCACTAACACCAGTGTATAAGGCTGTCTTGAATGTGTAAAATTGCAAGGTGATGGGGAGTAATAATATATGTAGGGGTGAGGGTTCACTTGTTGTCGAGGAAGTGGGATATTATTATTTAAATGTTTTTCTACAACCTCCCTGATGTCAAAGGTCAGGGGATAGGTATATTCCTTCGCGTTAAATCTACTATGGTCGTTTTTTCTAGGATGAATATTGTTTTTATTGACGTTTTTGATATTGATATATAATAAATACACAAGAAATATTCCTAATAAAATACAATATAACCGTTTTCTCTTGGGTACCGATGGAAACATTATGACTTTTCCCATATACATTACTCAGTTATCCCATCAATGTTATATATGTGTCCTTAAAATATTGTTAAACAAACAAATAAACAAAAACGAACAATTATTTATGTTCGGAAATGCAGCTGATCAAATGACATGTGTGATTTACATGTACAAAGGGTATATGCAGCAAAACCTTAGAATCATGTCGTCTGTATACGGTAAAACATTGGTACGACGCATGTTGCTTATATATACAGATAAACCTCAATAGTATGTCATTTGATTTTATAAAGTAAACTTTGATATCATTCCCCTCGTTTTATTTGCCTTCGTATTTATCACCATTATAGTTTTATTTTTCCTTTTCCTAGGTTTTTTTTCTACTTTCCTGTATACGTTTCCCTCCATATATCGTCAAATGATCCTTATATATAATACCAAACCTTTTAATGTAACTGAGAAGAACGTCTGATTTATACAGAGTCCTGCAGTCCATTTGGGTCTCTGAATAAATAATTCATAAGATATCCGGGTTGGGAACCCATTTTTCTAACTTTGATGATTTTCTATGCGAAAAATGTTGAGTCCGAGTCGTTGATAAGTGTGCCGTTGGTTAGTGAGTATGTCGTCAAACTCCCTTTATAATGCCAAATCTTGTAATGTTGCTTAGAAGAACGTCTGGTTTATACAGAGTCCAGGTTTATATAGGATACAATTTAGATGAAGTTTCTTGTAAACGTTCAAATCTTCAGAAATCATCTTTGTCGCCGACACATCAGCCACTCAGTCAAATTAAAAAACAGGAATATATAGTTTCCTTGTGTAGATCTGTCACCTTTCTCGAGTTGTTATTCCATGTTGTCGGCAAGTAAATCCAACCGTTAAAGAAATCTGTCCTACAATACAAATAATACATATAATTTATTTGAATAACTATTTCATGGTAAATAACTAGCTTTATATTGAAGCACGAAATTATTTTTCATATTTCTATTTCCCCAAACTAGCTACTATAAACTTGTTGGCGGAAAGATTATGTGTTTGTTAATGTTCCAATAGCGATATGAAAGTTATTCAATACGATATAGTGATAACTTCATATTAACGAAACCTTGAACCACAAACCATAGCGTCAACACACAAGGACAAATATATGATGACACATATTTTCCCTACATGCAAATGTACCCATTGGTTGGATCATAGTCTCGCGGAGATTGGTGATATGTGATATTAAATCGGTGTCACTATTTTTTGAAACATCAGGTCAATATTCACTTTATGATGTCATTTTAATTATAACGTCACACTGTTCTTAGCCAAATTTAGTACTTTCCTCTGTACAATTTTCACACGTGCCGTTTTTTTTAATGATGAAATGTTACTGAGTATCTTTAATAATAATTAAAGACTTTTATTTTGGTGAATTTACCTCAATAAAATTCCATAATTGACCACTATGCCACAGCGTCCAAATGCAAGGATAGAATTAAAATATTCCAAAGCGCCCAGACTAGAGGATAAAACATCCAATTGACTCAACACACAAGGACAACCTGGGTCCAAATACAAGGATAAAATATACTTGTTGTATTCTAAAAGCAATGTCCACTATTTTTAAACAAGTATACGACTACATTTTTGCAAATACCATAACCGAATGATCTGGATGCTAAGAACACTATTTCTATTTCAATATATATAGAGTCCGCACTCCCCAGCATTATTAGAATACATTTTGAAACATAACTCTCTGAAATATGACGAATATGACAGTCTAGTGCTTTTTTTTAAGAAAGGTAACTCTATTTGTATATATATATATATATATTATGATTACCTTTGTTGGTCTTAGCCTTTGTTTCCAAAACTGCATGTTGATGTTCATTTTGCCCTTGTATGTTGGATCATTAAGTATACATAATGCACTTGTCTTGCATAACCTGGAATCTGAAACTGTAAATTGTTTTTTAAGATCGCCCGACTACTGTGAACGGCCGTTAGGTGTACGTATAGGTTACGTTTGGGTTAAAACACCACCTGCATTGTAAAATATCTATTGTTGTCTGTCACGTGGCGTCACTATTGTGTCTAAGTGTAACGTCAATTGTTGATCATTATCACGACCTACGACACAGATATAAGGACATTTTATCACAAGTCTACCTTGACACAGATATAAGGACATTTTATCACAAGTCTACCTAAGACACTACATTTTTTCATTATTGTTTTGTGTATTCGATGATGTATTGACATAAGTTAATCTTATCATACACTTGTTCCAAAAGATATTTTCCGAAAATTCCGTATTTATCATAGCGTTAAGTTAACAGTGCTTGAAAACTTTAGTCTTGTTAGTTGTAACGGTTTATTGTTTGGTATGGTTTTGTTACAAAAAAAGTATGAAGGTATTTTATCATTTAATTCTTGTCATTGAAGAAGAAACTATACTAAGTTCGAATATTATGTGAAACAAAAATAATGATCACAACGATATATAAAATATCATAACTTGATTTTAGAATTAACTTTATACCTAGGAGGTTCCTCACTTTGATTGAAAAGCTGTTATCTCGATGAATCAAAACAACTATGATATCCAAATCTGTATTGTGTTATTTTTGGAGATATTGTATTTTGAATTATTGATCGTTTATAGCTAACAGATCTGATAGAGCTTCAATTTAAAAAGGAGCTTTTTTATAATGTTCAAGATGGAACGGTTCATGTCAATGAGCAATGTCAAACAGTTGCCTTTTGCATGAACATGATTACTTAATGTTGCCGTAAACAATGCAAACAACAACATATAGGTGCACATATCATAATAGAAAATAACGACGATATTGGTAATAAAGGAATTCATGGTTCAGTAGTTTTCATATTGGGTCGATACTGGTTGACTTAAAAAAAATAAAAATCTAGAAATACTTTAATATCAAATGCTTATATGAAGTTATATCTAAACGGTATTTTGGATAATACAAATGCTTTCCTTTTATCTGGTTTTCCATGATTTTATTTCTACATGACGCTGAACGATTCGTACATAGCATAGATAAGAGGGTGACATGATCAAAGTTGACATACTTATGCTAATTTTCAAGAAAGTTGTAGTCATATTAATATTCATTAATATTGTAACAAAATCAATTGCTGAATGACATATATCCAGGATAGACAGATAACCTGCTTGTCCACCAGAGTTACATCCCTTGCGTAGCATGTAGCCACAGTACTTACATTCAATAAAGACACGAACGAGATACAAATTAGTGTATGTTTTATTTTTACCTGTTTATTAAATAACTACAGCAATTTTTAAACAATGCTACTTTTTATAAATCTGGTATTATTCTTAATTACAATAAGAACTTGAGCCCTATCCCTTTGACTATTCAGTATCAATACAATATGTTTGAATGGTAAAACAAAACTTAATTACAATGATAAGACAAAATACGTATCTACACAGTTATGGGTTATCTCTAAAGAACGAGGTCTGGTTCCTCCTATCAAAATGTGGATCATGGCTCGGTATTACCATTAGTTTACTCGCTACTATTCCAAGATACAGATCAACATTAGGGCAGTATTTGACAAATGGAAATACAACATGGAAAGACCTGACGATGTTAAATGACATGACGTAATTTGAACCAATCACAGACGGCGGAACGTGATCAAAAGGATAATCTCCCTCGCTCACATACAAAGGTGAGCCTTGTCGTCTATCGGGATTCCTTTCATCAACAACGTGACCAAGAAATACACCATTATTATTGTTTTTAGTTTTAATGAGTTTCTTCATAAATGCAGTTATCATGTCGATATCTACATTGATATTTCCATCAAGAAATATAACGAAATCAGTGCTTTTGCAATATTGCACAATCCATGCGAAGGATGATACTGTTTTAATGGTATCAAAGAATTTGTCTTTCACTGCAGAGACCTGTATTATGTCACCATAATTCTTACTTTCAGCATTTACGTCTTTCTGATGGATATCCTCTGATCCTAGTACGAATACTTGTCTGACGGTTCCTATATCCGTATATTTCCACATCTCCCGAATGGCTGACCGCTGCTCTGTGTCGGTAGGATCAGACCAGATGACTACAAGAATATGGGCCGCGTCGTGCCCTTTCGTCGTAAACTTACATTGAGTCGCATTGTGTACAAGAGGTAGTAACTTTCTGTTGGTTGGTGTTTGAGGTATCTCTTCGCAATGAAGAATTTTTCGCTTCACAAGTCGTCTTAAATTAATATTTAGAGGATACGAGAGTAACTGTCTAGAAATGTTTTTACCTGCTAATGCAAATAATGATAATGGATTTGCAGGATCAAGATAAGGATCATAAGTCTGTTGTACTGACAAAATCCTTGCAACATTGCCTAGGTAACCATTTATATCATTGTCACTATTTTTAATATAGGGGAAAATAATTTGAAACTTTTTTGATACATCACGTGACACAAGGTTAACGTTGGAGAAGGCAGCCTTTGTCACAGCAGTGTTACCAATGAACCCCGATTTATTAGGTGGTAATGATGGTACAAGATCACCACGAAATAAAGGTGATGGTTTAAGAGTCACTAAGTCTCTTATGTACTCGAATAATATGTCTGATCTTACTTGAAGCGTCTCGTTAACGCTGAGGATAACGTCGGCTTTAGAACAATGTTTAACGGCCCAGTTGTATCCCATTATCAACTTTAGAGTACTGTTCTTGTAGGAGTCATGGAAATCCTCCTGTAGAATATCTCTATGCCTGTCACTCTCTTCCTCAATCACATATTGGTCGTCCTCTAGAAACCCCAGCAGGAACACTAGACGTGTATTTGGATCCTTCAGTTCTCCCCAAGTCCGTCTAATTATCTTTCTATAATAATAATTTCCGGGCCGCGAGTACATCAGAATTACGATTTTAGAACGGTTTCCGTGGAAATTGCAGTCACTTGGCAAGGAAATCGGTTTATACGGATGTGGGTTCGTTGGTGGGAAGGGTGAACCGCCGATTCGGATATTTTCTAGGACAGTAGTTATGTTCAAATCTGTCAAAGATTTCCTTTTTTCCTCTTGTGCAGTTGTCGTAACGTTCGTAATAGCTTGGAGCTGACTGTGAACCGAAATGGCAAGCGAAGTATCTGACGCTTCTTTTCTACTTGTGTTGCCAAAGCTGTTAACATTAGTAGAACAAAGACTTTCTGACTGTCCTCCGAATAAATGGCAATCCACTACAGGGCGTCTATCTTTCCTGTTATCGGGAATCTGCTCCAGTAAAGAAAAGTTCATCTTGTAGATGCATTCAAGGGTTGCAAACACCATCAGGATACCGATCATTTTCACAATAACGCTTCTCCTGGTGAAAAGAAACAGTACTTGTAACAGTTTGTTTCTGATCGCTTGATAGTGCAACAGGACCAAACCCATGATGGAAGGTTAATACACTTCTGAAATGAGAAATAGACAGACGACCAATTAAATAATGCTGCTGATTTCTATTATAAATTCCTCGTTTAGTCTTTTTTCCAAGATGAAGGGCGGAAGTCTACTCTTTCCTTATAAAATATTTTCGATGAAAATGAAATAGTTCGTTTTCATTTTCGTAGTTTCAGTTTAAAAGATATATCATTGGTAATTCCAAATATGGTACATTTTATGAACAAACCAGATCAAATGAGTAACACATAGTCGCCATAGTCAACACACGTTTCAAATTGTGCTAAATATAGCAATATGTATATATATCATAATGACTCAATACTGTAATAAATCAACCGAAACCACCTGTATTATATCTATGCTAATTTGATGTTAACAGAGATAGCAATTAATGTATACCTATATACATATACTACCGACACCCTACTTAGTATATTTCTTATAATAACACATATTGCTTCTTACCTTTCATACTGGGTCTGGCGAATGAAAATTTCTTACAAGACATAAAATATTTCTTCCACATTTTAAACAAAATATCTATGAAAATCACATATTCTATACAAAAGCATTCAGCGAGTATTGTTAGTCATTGTTCTGTATTTATTTTAATGTAATTAACACTAAACAAAAACCTTTGTTATACATACAAACATTTAAAATGGCGTTTTCAAAGACACAATTATTTAAGACTTATCGTATAAACTATCGCACTTCAAATATTTAGTTAAGTCGGTCAATCAGCTCTTTATTATCAACAATCTATTTGTAAACAAACCCTTTACAGTATTGTCTTTTACGAGTCAGTAAACATTGTAAAATTACTAAGGAACGATAACCAGGTGTCAAATGTCGAATTAAACAGTTTGTTTTGAGGAGTGTCGATACCCTGGGATAGATTTAAATATTTGATTGGAGGATATGACATTTAACAAAACCTTAAGGTACTAAAGAACCAAGTCGAATTTGTATTTGGCAGCCTATATCTAAGCGTAGATCAAGTGTTCACTGGCAGCGGTCCCTAAAATATTGAATTTATACGGACAAATGAAACTGTCGTTAAGGCGACTTTTGGAATTTTGTATTTCTAGGTTTGAAGCAAAGAAAAATATACGCTAGTAGAGGAATGTAGTTTAACTTTTTATACAAAAAATAAGGGGCTTGTAGCCCGTCTTCAAAGGTGCATGAATATATTTTTGTACAACATGTAGTCAATCAAAGTCAATTAAAGTCATTTAAAGTCTTGTAATTGTCAAAATTATTTGGACATTGGATGTAAACTCACATGCAGATGTATTTGTAGATTTGACCTGGATTAACATGCCGATTGTCGTCAATGAAGCAGAAGACGCTTACCCTTCCGAATCACCTGGTCTTATACTTCTTCTTCTGTTTCATTGGTCTCCATGTTAATCTTTCCTTTGATGACACTTACTGTTCTTTTTCGTTTTCTTTTTAATATGATGCAGTTATATCAAATTGTTATTAATGTGTATTGAACAAACAGTTAATTATTGTCATACAGACTTCGACATTGTCGTTCATATTAATGGCTTATTAATTTATTTTACAATTTTGTAAGGACAAATTAACTTATTTGCGATGTGTTAATGTAATTTTAACAATAGCAAGGCCCAACTTTATGTGTTAATAATAAAACTGTCTTTTTCATACACATCTACCTCCGCACAACTATACGTGTTCAAAATAAATAAATTGTAAACAGATTTACCCAATGGCACTTTTCAAAGATGAACGCAACACACAAACACATAGACACACACACACACACACACACACGCACACACACGTGACTGCACCTTTAAAATTTTGATAATAGATTCAGTATGCCATAAACAAGTTATTCTGCATCATACAGCTGTTTCGTAAAAATTCAGCATTAATTCCCAATCACGTTTAAATGTTCGTGATTCATTTTGCAAAAAAAGATGGGTGGTGGGGATGATGAGGTAGTGATGGCAGCGTTTAATTTCATATTGATTTAATACCAGGTGATCATAGAAAATATCCAAATGAATCATTTCCGGAAAGTTAATAACAAAACAGAAAGCCAAGTACGATTCGGTTGACTATTTATTTCATGTTACATCAACAACAGGTAATTTTGATTTGATTTTAACTTTCCTTATTACTGTGATTTTTTTGGGTGTAGTTTTAGTTTTGAGTAGATCCTTTGATGAAATGCATTCTTTTGTAATTATCTTCGCAACAGACGAATCCGGGCACTCGGCCACAGCCTCGAGTTTTGGCGGATCGACAAATATACTGTCTTCCTTGGGTTTTACTTGTAATTTTCGCGCTACAAAACCTAAGTATACGTCACTTCGTCCAAAATATTTCACAAATGGAAATGCAACTTGAAATTTCCAGGCTACGTCTGATGATATAACATAAAACTTTTCATTAAGAAATGGCGGGAACTTTTCCAATGGATACGTTTTCCGTGACAGGAATAACCGTGAATCTAAATCGCGTGTTGGATATGCGTTTTTAACTAACTTTCCTCTAAATATGTCTGATGATTGCTTGCTTGGCAAAACGGTCCTTAAGTATTTTAAAGTTCTGTTGATATCAATATCATATCCTTCCTTCAATACAACGATGAAATCTGCTTGAGCACAGAACTTAGCCGCCCAATTGAACCCCATTATTGTTTTTCGGGTACTGTTCATATAATCGTCCCGGAAGTCCTCCTGAATGACGTCACGATACTTCCGGCTTTCCTCGTCAACTAATGATTGTTTCGAGCGTCCCATCCCTAACAGAAAAACTTTCTTGAAGTTATAGTCTCGATGAATGCCCCACAATTTTCTCAGATACAATCGCTCTTCTACGTTGGACGCTTGCGACTTGACTAAAAGAAGAACGTTTTTTACGTGTTTGTCTGCATGAAGGAAAGAACATCTGTTTGGGCGATGGACGTAGTTGTAGGGATGCGGGTTGATTGGTGGAATGCTAGAGTCTTTGTGACGTAGAAGTTTATCGTTCACTAGTTGCGTCATGTTAACCATCAATGGATAGTTGAATGTTGAGTTATCTGTAAGGAATTTACCATCAGGTAACGGAATGGTTGGTTTCAGAAGAAGTCGGCGTTTCCTATCCGCTATTTGACAATTCCCTGACACAAGCTCTGCTGGGTCGTGCGAACATTCTTTTGCCAATGAAATGTTAGAGAGAGTTGAAAAATGAGCGTCGTATTTTGGGGTTATAGCAAGTTTTTTAGCTACAATTCCTAGATATACATCATCTATTCCTAAATATTTTACGTATGGAAATGCAACTTTAAATTTCCTTGCCACATCTTTGGAAAGCAAATATGCCCCGCCTCCAATATATGGTGGAAAGTGATCGTATGGATATTCATGGAAACTTGTTTTCCATTTTGAATTTTCGTTCCGTTCTGGCTTTGCAGCTATAGCAGTTGATCCGAGATAAACGCCTGTTTTATTCATCTTTTCGATTCCTCTGATGTATTTAATCAAAGCGTGAGGCTGAACGTGATAATCGTCATCTAGAAACAACAACATGTCGGCCTCCCAACAGTTCTTCATTGCCCAGTTGTATGACATAACCGTTTTCAAAGTGTTATTCATGTAGGCGTCTAAGAAATTCTCTTGGACAATATCATTATACTGGCGGACCTCCTCGTCCACCAAGGCCTGATAGGACCCGTTGTAACCTAGCATGAACACGCGCCGTACGTAGGGGTCACGCAAATCCCTCCACATCGCCCTTACCGCCGCCCTTAGCTCCATATTTGACACGGCAGATTTAATAAGCACCAATACCGTTTTCGTGCTGTTGTTATGGTGCGGGAAATGACACTTGGGAGGAGGCTGGATAAAACTGTATGGGTGAGGATTGATCTGGCGATAAGGTATGCGCTGTTTGAACACTATCAGGTTGTTTACAAGACGTTCTAAGTCTATTTCCAACGGATAAGAATAACTGTCGTTGTATGATAAATATTTACGAGATGTTTCGTTAAATTCTTCTTCATCCTCTGGTCCCACAAAGACGGAAGGTAGTTGTATTTCCATATCATCAAATCGTTCATCGTAAAAGCTGTTATCCAAGGCACCGTCTGCTTCTATATCTATCACCGTATCGGTAACGTTATTTTCAGTTTCAACTACTTCTAAAGGTTTCCGAAATTCCTGTTTGATAGCTGTTTTTCCAGTCACTATTATGATATCGGTTTTTTGAATCATGTAAGAAAAATTAAGTAAAAGTCCAAGAAATCCAAACAACAACACAGCAAAGAAGAAGCAAAAAATGCTCTTAATATTTAGTTGTTGTATCAAAAATACATGCGTTATCTTTAACTTGTTGCTGACAAACTTGAACATTTTGCTTCCACTTTAGGTTTTTCCGTCGATACTACTTTGAACACTTATGGTAGAATATTCCATCCAAATAGTCTTTCTGTTCAACATTTTAAAACGTGTTTATGCCGGTATGCATATTCTAATTGTGATAACAACACCGTCATTGAGAAATTCCGGACGTGCATCTACCATCAAGCATTTGGCTACATCTGAAAAACACAATATCATATTTTTGTTAATATATTGATATTCTTACTATTGTATTGGGTATTTGGACCGAGGTCTAATTAATGTATTGCAATACAGTAAACTGTATCGCGATAATTGTATCATAATGTATCTGTTTTTCAGACGATGTTAAATAGTTGTACCTCGCAGTAATTTTAAAGTAAAATGACATATGTGCGGCTTTGTCCAGAGAATAAGATTGATGAAGACTTTGGAAAAGTTTTACGGACGCCATCACGAGATCGTTAGAAAATTATGATTAACAGTATGACAACATATCATTATACTGGGTTGTGTATTGTCTATATTACTGTTGTATATTGATAAACATTTCGACAACATATCGCTATACTGGGTTGTATATGCCCTATAATACTGTTGTATATTGATAAACAGTATGTCAACATATCACTATACTGGGTTGTGTATTGTCTATAGCACTGTTGTATATTGATAAACAGTTTGACAACATATCACTATACTGGGTTGTGTATTCCCTATAATACTGTTGTATATTGATAAACAGTATGTCAACATATCACTATACTGGGTTGTGTATTGTCTATAGCACTGTTGTATATTGATAAACAGTTTGACAACATATGGCTATACTGGGTTGTGTATTCCCTATAATACTGTTGTATGTTGATAAACAGTTTGACAACATATCACTATACTTGATTGTGTATTCCCTATAATACTGTTGTATATTGATAAACAGTATGTCAACATATCACTATACTGGGTTGTGTATTGTCTATATTAATGTTGCATATTGATAAACATTTCGACAACATATCGCTATACTGGGTTGTGTATTCCCTATAATACTGTTGTATATTGATAAACAGTATGTCAACATATCACTATACTGGGTTGTGTATTGTCTATAGCACTGTTGTATATTGATAAACAGTTTGACAACATATCACTATACTGTATTGTGTATTCCCTATACTACTGTTGTATATTGATGAACAGTTTGACAACATATCCCTATACTGGGTTGTGTCTTCCCTATAATACTGTTCTATATTGATAAACAGTATGACAGCATATCACTATAATGGATTGTGTATTCCCTATAATTCTGTTGTATATTGATGAACAGTTTGACAACATTTCACTATACTGAATTGTGTATTTCCTATAGTTCTGTTGTATATTGATGAACAGTTTGACAACATATCACTATACTAGATTGTGTATTTCCTATAGTACTGTTGTATATTGATAAACAGTATGTCAGCATATCACTATACTGGATTGTGTATTCCCTATAATACTGTTGTATATTGATAAACATTTCGACAACATATCACTATACTGGGCTGTGTATTCCATAAAGCACTGTTGTATATTGATAAACATTATGATAACATGTCGGTTTTATATGTATATATATATATACATCTCGTAAACGTTTCAGAGATTACCATAAGAATATGATGGAAATATCAATAGGTTTTTTTTGTATCAGGGTCATTTGTAAAATAAAGCAACGCTAAATCAGTTCCATATGCTTGACCATTTTACCGTATCTCAAAAGGCGGAATCAAATCTATATATATATATATATATATTATAGATGAACGCCGCTGCAGACAATAGTGTTTCAAGATGCTAATATCTTGTACACGGACACTTATATTAAATAATATAATACATATAACATGCAATATAATATATAGTAAAATACAAAAAAAATATCAACACAATATGTTATACAATACAAATTCCATAAACATTGCCGTTTTGCCGCAATGTTGACGGATTTTTTGCATTTTTTGTTTACATGTTCAGAAAAAAAAAATGTTTAATAACGTTTTCTTAAATGTAAATCCTCATCTTACAAACCAAGGACTTTGATCCAATAAACATGGCCATACCCTTCTGTACACAGTTGTACAGCGCCGAGTACTGAATCCCTGTATCGTGTTCCTTCCTCAAACAAACAGTTTAAGAAATCAGACCCGCGTCAATTCAGCTCAACAACAAATCGCTTTGAAACAAACACGAAACACAAATATTAACACATCAAAACTAATTGAAAATACTGATCAGCTGAGAGCATTTACAGTCCTTAAAAAATATTACCACGTGTGTTTAACTTTATAATCTCCTAACATGTTTTACTTACCGGTTTTTATGCTTCGTGACGATGTCCCCTAATTCATTAACGTATAGTTGACAAGCGGTCTGGGCATGTATCTACAAAGTATTCTAATGTACATACATTCCCTGGGTTGTTCCGTCCGCTCACAGATCCTTGTTCAGATTAGTAGGAAGATAAGTGATTAAGATACGTTATATTTATATTTACATCAAAACAATTTAAATTTATCTCCCAACTGATCTCAACAAGACACTGTAATCCGCTGATGATCCACGACCCAGGGTATTGTTACTATAGCCCGATCGTTGGCCGATATTGTATATATATATATATCTGAGTCCCGTTACACAGTATCAATACATGTACAATGGTAGTCCGCCATTACACGAAATAAACTATATTTGTAAATCATTCATGCGCGTCATAACTTTGTTTTTCTAATTAGATGTTTAAATGTTTTTATTAGGCAAAGATGGTGCATTAAGAGAATTCTTGGCGTCTTCCATCTAAGCATAGACCTAAATTTACTTTAGGTCTCTGATCTAAGTAATGTGTCAGGATTTTATTTTCTCTAAAAATCGTTTATTTTCAGTAACATTTTGATATTTCAAAAAGAAATCAGAATAATCTCGATTGTACTTATAGGCTTATTGTGTGATGTTTCTATGCTAACTCTTACTGTAGTTCTACTTTACTCCGAATCATTTGACGGTGGTGTTATGATCAAGGATGTACTTCTCTGTGGTTTAAATCATGTTCAAATCTCGTTTTTATCTAATGTAACATGTTTTTTTTTATAGAATGTAACAAATTATGATCGATTTCAGTCAAACATACATCTGAAAAGTGTGACAAAAACTCTGTATATACCCATTGATTGTTTCTTTTACAAGCTTTTTTAAACCGAAAAAAATGACCAAACGGTATGTTTTTTGAACTCTAAGAAATGCTGGAAGTTCATATCCTAACTTAGATTTATCACTATTCGTGTCATTCTATGGCACTTTTAATAAAAGCTAACTGTTGTTGTGCAAGTTTTGAATATTCAATATCAAATATAAACTTTCTTTATTTTTCAACAATGGGAACTGTGGTATTCTATTACTTATTACTTTAACCGAAGCTCTTTTGATTTTGAACTAGCAACAGGTGAAAATTAACACCGTACAACTGAATAATATTGCAAACACAGAAGCACTCTGACCCCAATTTTTTGGCTGTTTTTGGAAAAGAAAGACTTGTTTATCCATTGAATGTTAAAAAAAGATTTAATTGCGGAACTTTTATATTCATCCTTACATCTGCAGAAAAAAAGAAATAATGAGTTTTCTACGTAAAAATGATTGGTAATAAATATGTTGGTAACCAAAATTGCCCTTGTGATATAAAAGTATAAGTTTAAGAAATTATTTTTAGAAAGTTTATTATGTGGATTTTATTACATAGATCTATTACACGTGTTTAGGACCTCATATTTCCCGCGCGATGGAAGTCTAAAAAGAATGAAAATATCCGAGAGGTCCGAAAGAAGACTTCCTTTCGATGTTCACTTCCGGTAACATTTCCGATGATGCAGACAGGTTTGTTGACATATCGAATATCGATAATTTAACACAACACAAATGTGCGAAACGTTGATACACACATCAATCAATCTATTGTTCGTTCCTCCATCGAGAGCACACGTGGTCTTTAGGAAAGTTGTGCATTGTCTCGCGTGTAAGGTGAAAATCTAGCCATCTGTCGGTCGGACTGGCCCACGGCGATCACTGTAACAATTTCACCTGTAAGACCATTGGAATTTTAATGATGCATAATAAATTCCTCTTCAGTCGCTCTTGTGTATGGACTCCTTCAGTGTTTACTGAACTACTTGGATCCGTATAAATTTACTGTTCTGTACTGTATTCATTATTTTGTTTTGGCTCTAACTCGATGTGATGGAATTTTTGACTAAGCTATACACTCAACTCTTTAGTAAATTCCGATGTATTTTGCCAAAATGGCCAGTTTTATTTATATTGCTTATCAAATACAGTCCATACAGAAAATGAGATGCTTGGTAACACTTTGTCTCAGTTTCTTTTGGCCCCCAACACCATACGTTTAGCAAGAGACATATTATACGTCTCCGGTTTAGCCATTTTGATGGATACAGAATGATATAGTTTAGGAGTCAGACTCAATCTGATGTTATCATGTATGGTGACCAAATTTAGAGGAAATTGGGTCCAGACAGGGATAATTTTCTTTCATGTTTGAAATGTGCTTTGAATGACGATAATAATACACTTTTGTTACAATGATGAAAAAGTTGATAAATGTACACAACTGTAAACATGATTTAAAAATACGTTTATTAGACATTTATTGAATATTTTAATTATTACTTTACAGGTGAACCTACATGTAGATGTCTGTTGGTGTAGATGTTTTGATTGGAAGATTAAGGTGAACGTCACCATGGAAACAGCAGGAGAGGATTTAGAGTCGGCTAGGGCTGGTTACCCTAAGCTACAGACAGAGAGTGATGTTCAACTCCACCAGCCAGATCTGGAACAGTTGAAACATGACAGATTTGAACGCAACAGACATGTCATGGAGGCAAGTTAAAAGAAATTTTTAAGCAACCTGCATTAATTATTTTAATTTGCAAATGTTCATTTCATGGTAGAAGTATTATTTCTCTTACCCTGGACAGGTGTATTCATAATTTTACCGGTGTGTGATATTATCCTTATCTAACCTAGGGTTGAGACGGGGGGATTCCCCTATTCATAACACTGGTATGAAATCATGTCAACAATACAATGACGTCACCTCAACAATCCATCAGCGTCACGTCAACCCTGAATTTAGCCTGTAACGCTAACATTAAATTATGTATGTGATACACAATTGGTGAACAGGGTGAGAGAAAAAGTATCATTCTCCCCTTTGAGGGTTAGATAGGGGAATCTCAACCCTCGGGGAAAGATTCTTAAGTTGCGAAACACTCGGCAAAGCCTCATGTTTGGCAACTTAAGAATCTTCCCCCTCGGGTTGAGTTTCCCCTATCTCAGAAGGATTCTATTACTCTCTTTCATAATGAAGGCAACCTTTCAAGTTTCAAGGGAACATTGAACTTTTCGCATATCTTTCAGGATGAGAATAAAGTGCTGTCAAAATATAACCTCTGTGATATACAATGTATAAGGACACATTTAAAAAAATCTTATTTTCCCGCTGAACCTGACCTACCCTAGATTTAAGTGCCTACCCTAGAATTGCTCTACCTAAGCATAGTAACATAGAAAAAATGCCTTCCAACCTACCCAATTTTTTCTGAGGATCTTAGCAAATTTTGGCCATAGTAGATATTTGAGGTGGCAGGTGCTCATGGAAAATTGTTGATGCTAAAAAAAGGAAATACATACATGTATTTCATGTACTGATTTAAATACCATACAAATCAATTACAATTTACATTTTGATTTACATTGCAGACACTTGACAAGAGGGCTGCCAAAGCAGCATTTCCACAGGTAGGCCAACTTAACATGGTAGGGTGTAAACTTCAGTGTCAAATCAATGAACAGGGTTCATGCAGGCCTTGAAAATTAGAGCTGAAACACAAAGGGTTAGCCATGAAAACCCCTAAAATTGCCCTAAAAGCCCTAGAAATAACTTAAAAGGATCAGAATGAGCCTTAAATTTGACCAAATGATCATTAAACTTTGATTGTATATTAATTTTGGTGGTTTTGTGGTGTTAATTGCATAAAAGTGAATTAAGAAAATGCAAGAAATAAAATATTTGTTATGAATGAATTTCTTTATTTTCGAATTACGAACCAATGTTAGATTTCAGGGTTGTTAGAATTGATATGGTTTTAGACACATTCAGGTTTCACATCCAGATCTCTCTATTAGGAGAATCTTCAAATAGCAAGAGATGTTAGGCCTTAATTTACTGAAAAAGGCCTTAAAAAGTCTTGAATTTTATAATAAGATTCCTTTATGAACCCTGATGAGGTACAAAATTCCATCCTCTATACAAAAAAATCTCAAAATGTGGTAAATGTTGCAAGCTGTTGAGGTCTAAAAAAGGAAACAGTGTGCTTTTGGTTTCCCTAGCTAACCTTATTTTAATGATTAACAAATACTATGTTTACCTATTTGACAAAAGGGTAAAGTGCAGTATTGTAAGCTATTTTATCTGAAAAAAATAGTCAAATTGAAAAAAGTTGTAGAGATGTGGGGAATTGCCGATTTATGGAGTGGAAAATGAATATGACAGAACTCTCTTGATATTAGGGAGAGGAGGCTGGTACTACCTTGCCAATGTACGTGAATGTTCTAGGCCAAATAGTTCATAACTCAAGACCATTTTTAATCATTTGTACTTGTAACATGTTCTGTATTCGGTTCTCTATTATGTTTGTAACAGCTTCATACAATTAAAAAGGAGATAACATTTGTGAAGATTACTGGTAATTTCTTTAACATTAAAAAACGAAAAGGATGGACAGTAAATAATTTCTTAATGAAACAGGTACCGTAGTTTGATGATATTTGTTTCTGAATGTACATAATCTTCCACCAGGTGTCACCACTAGACAAGTACGAGCAAGCTGCGCTGTGTATACAGAGGAATTACCGTGGCTACATCGGCAGGAAACTCTATACAGACTTTCTCTACGACAAGTATGCCAAGGTAGAGTACATATAATAATGATAATTTGAGGTTCTTATATACCGCTTTATCACAACCTTTTTCGTAGGTCGTCTCAAAGCGGTTTGACAAATTATTATCCAAGGTTATGGGGCCTTTGCAACCAGCAAATATTGTTCTCAACTCCCTGGGGAGCATACAGCCAGTGTTGCCATTTCGGCGCTCACAGCTTGCATTCAACAATTCTAGCACTGCTCAACCACATACTCATTTACAGCTGAGTAGACTGGAATAAGCAGAGTAAAGTATCTAGCTCAAAGATACAACACAGTGCTGTGACGTGACTCAAACCCGCAACCCTTCAGTCAAGAGCCCGGCGTCCTACCACTAGACTAACTTGCCTCTGTATATATCAAATCAAATCTTATTTCATGGCTTTGTTTAAAAAGTCAACAGTTTTCGCTGCACATAGGTATGATATCTTCCTCTCGTGTTATATTCCTCTCCTATGCCCTTGGACATGATCATGACAGCAAAATCAATCTGGGTTACAAATTTGACAAAAAGTGTACAATTTCATATTTAGAGCACTGTAGCTTGCTGGCTGATTTTGAAATATTCTACTAGCTTGTTCTAAATTTGGTAATAAAAAATTCAAACTTGTACAAGCCTTAACATAATTATTATGTACTGTCCCTTGGCATCAGGCAAGTGTAATTGTGCACCTTGGAGCTAAAAGTCAGGAAATCATAAACATATCTGCCTATGGCATTAATTTCATTGCTGAAAACGGCAGGTTTATTTTCACTTAACTTTTAAGAATCATGTTTCACATGTATTCATCACTTTAACCTGTCTGACAGCAATTTAAGTAAAAAAAAAAAAGCATCATTTTAATTTTATTGTATTATGCTAGGGAAACCACTTATGTGATTCTTGTCAAACATTCTCTAAATCTTATTTCACAAAGGGAGATAAACTGTCTGTACTTATAAATGACGCGAAGTGATTTCCCAGTGTTGGTTGAGATAGTCCCAATAAAAGCTGGATTTCTGCTAGGTATACATTCTATTCCTCGGGGCAAGAATATCATTTGGCCAAATGTGATCTATATCTTAGCTAAATATATTTCTGACTGTCCTTGGTCTGAGAAATCAGCAAGACTTTACATGACTTTTCGTATTTACAGTTAATAAAAATCGGAACATTAACCCTTTCACCTCTAGGTAACTTGAGTAGACTCTACCATACATTCATCTGGATGAGTCCATTATGGTCTACAGTGGTAAAAGGGTTGATACAAAAATTTCTTTAACAGTTAAATGTTGAGTGTTAACCATCTCACTGGTGACCAGTATGCTGGGGGTCAAGGTTCAAATGTGACCAATGCTTGCCTATAATATAGAGACCATATAAAATTGGGTCTAAGTAATGTAAATGTTCAGTAATCAACAGGGGGAAAATCCAACTCTCCTAATAAAGGGAAAGGCGGTATTGTTCTAGGTTGATCCGTAAAACAGATTCTGTAGAGTTCCTTACTAATAAAACATATGGACGCATGGAGGAATTAGGTGTTGATATTCCTTCATCCGTTCATAACTATGTTCAACCCGTTTTCATGCGTAAGAAACTTTATGATATAATCTAGAAATGTCAAAGTTAACCCTTTCACCACTGTAGACCAAAATGGACTCATCCAGATCAATGCATGGTAGAGTCTACTAAAGTTACAAAGGGGTGAAAGGGTTAAATGATTTCTCATTCCATTGACCCTTTTTGACAGAAAGAATATCACAGAATTTCATAATTAAAGCTGTTCTTGGCAGTGAAGTGAATTAATTCAACTTTAGCAAAACCAAGATATGAGTAACAAATTCTGATGATTTCAAAAGGAAATATGAATGGTGGTGGGTTTGATAGTTCTTTAGTTCCTCTGTATAATAATTGAAAATTTTCTAATTTCAGTTTAATTTCCTAGTTTTGGGTAAGGATAGCAAAAATTAAGAGCTACGAAAATATGTGACTGTGCTGTTTGTTTTAAGTATTTAATGAATTTTGATGAATTGTTACTGTGCACTTTCAAAGGTAACCTAATAAGTGTATATGTTAAACAAGAGACATTTGCATTTTCAGGAAGAGCAGGCGCGCTTGGAAAAGATGCTAGCCCAGTATGAAGAGGGGGAACTGTTAGTAGAAAAGTAAGTGGCTTCAAATCTAATGTGTGTAATCAGTTTCTTGGTGAAATTGTGATGGTTTTCCATCTACAGTAGTAGAGGGTGTGATGGTCCTCCATCTACAGTACTAGAGGTTGTGATGGTCTCCCATCTACAGTAGTAGAGGTTGTGATGGTCCCCCATCCACAATAGTAGAGGTTGTGATGGTCATCCATCGACAGTAGTAGAGGTTGTGATGGTCCCCCATCTACAGTAGTAGAGGTTGTGATGGTCATCCATCCACAGTACTAGAGGTTGTGATGGTCATCCATCTACAGCACTAGAGGTTGTGATGGTCCCCCATCTACAGTACTAGAGGTTGTGATGGTCCCCCTTCTACAGTAGTAGAGGTTGTGATGGTCCTCCATCTACAATAGTAGGGGTTGTGATGGTCATCCATCGACAGTACTAGAGGTTGTGATGGTCATCCATCTACAGTAGAAGAGGTTGTGATGGTCCTCCATCTACAGTAGTAGAGGTTGTGATGGTCATCCATATACAGTACTAGAGGTTGTGATGGTCCTCCATCTACAGGACTAGAGGTTTTGATGGTCCTCCATCTACAGTACTGGAGGTTGTGATGGTCATCCATCTACAGTAATAGTAGAGGTTGTGATGGTCATCCATCGACAGTACCAGAGGTTGTGATGGTCATCCATCTACAGTATTAGAGGTTGTGATGGTCATCCATCTACAGTACAAGTGAAGAGGGGGAACTGTTAGTAGAAAAGTAAGTGGCTTGAAATCTAATGTGTGTAATCAGTTTCTTGGTGAAATTGTGATGGTTTTCCATCTACAGTACTAGAGGTTGTGATGGTCATCCCTATACAGTACTAGAGGTTGTGATGGTCCTCCATCTAATGTACTAGAGGTTGTGATGGTCATCTATCTACAGTACTAGAGGTTGTGAGGATCATCCATCTACAGTACTAGAGGTTGTGATGGTACTCCATCTACAGTACTAGAGGTTTTGATGGTCCTCCATCTACAGTACTGGAGGTTGTGATGGTCATCCATCTACAGTATTAGAGGTTGTGATGGTCATCCATCTACAGTATTAGAGGTTGTGATGGTCCTCCATCTACAGCACTAGAGGTTGTGATGGTCCCCCATCTACAGTAGTAGAGGTTGTGATGGTCCCCCATCCACAATAGTAGAGGTTGTGATGGTCATCCATCGACAGTAGTAGAGGTTGTGATGGTCCCCCATCTACAGTAGTAGAGGTTGTGATGGTCCCCCATCTACAATAGTAGAGGTTGTGATGGTCATCCATCGACAGTACTAGAGGTTGTGATGGTCATCCATCTACAGTACTAGAGGTTGTGATGGTCCTCCATCTACAGTACTAGAGGTTGTGATGGTCATCCCTATACAGTACTAGAGGTTGTGATGGTCCTCCATCTACAGTATTAGAGGTTGTGATGGTCATCCATCTACAGCACTAGAGGTTGTGATGGTCATCCATCTACAGTAGTAGAGGTTGTGATGGTCCCCCATCTACAGTAGTAGAGGTTGTGATGGTCATCCATCTACAGTACTAGAGGTTGTGATGGTCCCCCATCTACAGTAGTAGAGGTTGTGATGGTCATCCATCTACAGTACTAGAGGTTGTGATGGTCCTCCATCTACAGTACTAGAGGTTGTGATGGTCATCCATCTACAGTACTAGAGGTTGTGATGGTCCTCCATCTACAGTACTAGAGGTTGTGATGGTCATCCATCTACAGTACTAGAGGTTGTGATGGTCCTCCATCTACAGTACTAGAGGTTGTGATGGTCATCCATCTACAGTACTAGAGGTTGTGATGGTCCTCCATCTACAGTACTAGAGGTTGTGATGGTCATCCATCTACAGTACTAGAGGTTGTGATGGTCCTCCATCTACAGTACTAGAGGTTGTGATGGTCATCCATCTACAGTACTAGAGGTTGTGATGGTCCTCCATCTACAGTACTAGAGGTTGTGATGGTCATCCATCTACAGTACTAGAGGTTGTGATGGTCCTCCATCTACAGTACTAGAGGTTGTGATGGTCATCCATCTACAGTACTAGAGGTTGTGATGGTCCTCCATCTACAGTACTAGAGGTTGTGATGGTCATCCATCTACAGTACTAGAGGTTGTGATGGTCCTCCATCTACAGTACTAGAGGTTGTGATGGTCATCCATCTACAGTACTAGAGGTTGTGATGGTCCTCCATCTACAGTACTAGAGGTTGTGATGGTCATCCATCTACAGTACTAGAGGTTGTGATGGTCCTCCATCTACAGTACTAGAGGTTGTGATGGTCATCCATCTACAGTACTAGAGGTTGTGATGGTCCTCCATCTACAGTACTAGAGGTTGTGATGGTCATCCATCTACAGTACTAGAGGTTGTGATGGTCCTCCATCTACAGTACTAGAGGTTGTGATGGTCATCCATCTACAGTACTAGAGGTTGTGATGGTCCTCCATCTACAGTACTAGAGGTTGTGATGGTCATCCATCTACAGTACTAGAGGTTGTGATGGTCCTCCATCTACAGTACTAGAGGTTGTGATGGTCATCCATCTACAGTACTAGAGGTTGTGATGGTCCTCCATCTACAGTACTAGAGGTTGTGATGGTCATCCATCTACAGTACTAGAGGTTGTGATGGTCCTCCATCTACAGTACTAGAGGTTGTGATGGTCATCCATCTACAGTACTAGAGGTTGTGATGGTCCTCCATCTACAGTACTAGAGGTTGTGATGGTCATCCATCTACAGTACTAGAGGTTGTGATGGTCCTCCATCTACAGTACTAGAGGTTGTGATGGTCATCCATCTACAGTACTAGAGGTTGTGATGGTCCTCCATCTACAGTACTAGAGGTTGTGATGGTCATCCATCTACAGTACTAGAGGTTGTGATGGTCCTCCATCTACAGTACTAGAGGTTGTGATGGTCATCCATCTACAGTACTAGAGGTTGTGATGGTCCTCCATCTACAGTACTAGAGGTTGTGATGGTCATCCATCTACAGTAGTAGAGGTTGTGATGGTCCTCCATCTACAGTACTAGAGGTTGTGATGGTCATCCATCTACAGTACTAGAGGTTGTGATGGTCATCCATCTACAGTAGTAGAGGTTGTGATAGTCCCCCATCTACAGTAGTAGAGGTTGTGATAGTCATCCATCTACAGGACTAGAGGTTGTGATGGTCCTCCATCTACAGTACTAGAGGTTGTGATGGTCATCCATCTACAGTACTAGAGGTTGTGATGGCCATCCATCTGCAGTAGTAGATGATGTGATGATCCTCTTTCATTGTGTTGTATGGACTTTTAGGACACTTGCCACAAGGTCAATTCAAGGTCAGTTCAAGGTCCTATTCCTGCTGTGACATGTCCTGTTACTTGTGTTATATCACTTTAAAAAAGTCATTTCTTAAAGTAAGTAAAGTAAGAACTAAAGGAGTTGAGGACAACATATATTATGGAATGTTCTCTTTTTTCCCCCCTGCAAGCGTAATTCACGCTTGTAGCCGCCATCTTACCTTCTGCCACTGATAGTGGCAGATATGACCTCACTCAAGAGATTAAAAGTCCATCATTTTTCTTGATACAATACAATACATCACTACCCAAAATTCCTACGACTTGTTTCTGGTAGATTCCAAGATGGAAGTTACATACCACAAGGTTTATTACTTTTTCACAGATACAATATTACTAATTTTTTAGACGATATTACTCAGGTAAAAAAACTGTAATGACTACGGTTAAATCATCTTTAAAAAGTATCGGGGGTAATATACGCATCTTTACTTACCATGGCAGAGGTCTCTAGGTTCACACTCCGTCCATCTGCCTATACATTCCAATTTTTCAAGGACACATCTCATAACCGGTACTCTGTCACCTGCAGTTGCCAACTTTTGTATGTAAATAGCTGTTAAGATGGGGGAATGTCACGTACAGAAAACTGCTCTTGTACCCAACTTGATACAGAGTTATGGCCCTTCGTTCGAGTGAGATACCCAAGTTTGGCTGGAGCTTTGGAGTGCTTGCAATACTTTTCCTCGTTTATAGATACAGTATTAGAATTGGAATGTTAAGACACCACAGATAATAGATCTATGTGATACAGATTTCTTATAGTGCTACCAAAATGTTTTTATGGTGATTGTCTATGGGTCTACCTGTTAAGTTTAAACTCTGTATTTAGATGATAATATCTAAAAAAATAATCTCTTGAACGATTATTTTTATCATGAGCCAGAAATGGTCTGTCAACGCTTGGTACTAAACAGCTGTGCTCGACACTCATTTGTACATTTATTCTTGACTTGTAGAGAGATTGATATGTGATGCACTGTTGTTTGACATGATTCGTATGAACTGTTAGTTTTGATTGGACAGTATTGATGGGCAATTGGTTTAAAATCTTAATTGGTAATCAGTTTGTAATCGATTCTAATCTATCATCAGCCCAACACTTTTGGACAGTTGGATCACCATGTACAATCTGCAATAGAACCATGGAGATCGTCTGCTGGATAACCACACTTCTCTTTTAGTGAAGTAGAGGTTAAACAAATCAATCAATCAATCAATCAGTTATGGTTTGATGGTGATAAGCCTGACCTACCCCACTTAAGCCACGCCCTGTTTCTAAATATAACAATATGACAGTGCTGGTATAAGTATATAGCATAATAGGCTGGTTATTTTAATTGAATTAATAAATAATAATAACAATAGTATACAACCTTTGATATAGTGCCCTATCTAGCTAGAATTTGTATCTGTATCTGTATAGGTACGTTGAAAAACCACTTCTGGCATATAATCAACGGAAGGGGAGAACGCATGGAGGTTTTTAGTCCGAATGGAGACGAGATTTAAAAATCTCCATAGATTTTACAAGGACTTGTTTGCCCTGAAGATGGTTCCAGTCTATTATAGTCCTGGGGAAGTAAGAGTTGCTGAGTGTTTCTGTTTTCGCAGCAATACTTTGAA